TTTCCTCGTCGTCCTTAAATATCCCTGTCCTCAGCCTTAGTATTGCATCAGATGCGGCGTGCATATCGATTAATAAGTAGCCGTAAGGTTGATTAGTCGATTGCCGATATGCATCGAGAAAATAGTCTAATTTACTCGGGAAGAGTTGTACTCCTATATTCCTAACTGCAAGTGCAGAATTTGGGGAGCGCATTAAGATAATGTATTGCGCATTTTGTCGGGCAACTTTGATTTTACGATCAAATAAATTTTGAGTTACAAATACGACTGCAAAATTTTGATGATGGGATTTTTTAGTAAATAGTTCAGATAAATATTTCTCATCAATAGACAAAAGTAGATCATCAAGAATTAAAAGGAGTGGTTTTGGAAATGTTTTTAATAGTTCCTCAGAGGGAACGCCGACAAATACGGCAACTCCAGATTTTTGAAGTATTGGCACTATACTACTCATTTCTCCAAAACAATACAATATACTACTTGGTTTGGGGTCGATTAAGTCTACCGCTTCGGAAATAAATTTTAATAAGAAGGTACTCTTCCCGCTTGAACTAGGACCTGAGACAATCATACCGAAAGGCAATTTGAATTTCAAATCTTTATTAGAAAATGTTAACGATTCCATTCTAAGTTGTAAGAAAACTAAAGGAAATAAAAAATTAATTAGCTTAAATACTATCGGTAAAAATTAAAGAGGTGGTTGTAAATTTGTATCACTTGGATTGTTTACTACTTCATTCTTAACATCATTTTCTGCTAACATTCCCATTGTAACAGCCTGCATAGAGTCGAAGAACTCTAAGAGGACTGCTTCCTCATTCTCTTTTGTTTCTTCTTTAATTGGAGATAATCCTGCGAGGGGTTGCTGTGGTGGTATTTCTTGTTGCGGGGATGCAGGTGGTGATGTTAATATTTCCGGTTGTGGTGCAGGGGGAGGTGATAATATAGGTGGCGGTGTTAATAATTCATTTTGTGGAGGAAGTGGGGGTGGAGGAGGAGGTGGGGGTAATAGTTGTGCTTCAGCTTCTCTCTTACGGGAATTTGTGACAGAACAAACATTTTGGGAACCATATGGAATGTTCAACACACGACCCTTGTTTTTAATCTTAATGAAAATTATTTATTCTTTAATTATATAATAAATTACCTTGAAAAAACAATGACCCGGCAAATCATAAATACAATCGAAGGGTACAAATCGTGGAGCTGAGAAGCGAGTACAATAGATAGTTACTCCTTCCTTTGTCACAATAAAATCCAGTTCGACCTCTGTACTTTTACATTCACGACAGCGGCCACCATTCTCAAAAGGGATGAAGCGAGGAGTAGAAATTCTCTCGCTAGTTAAGGTAATACCGTTTGTTGTAAAATTGAAATCGACTTCTGGAATTATTTGTGTTAATAGAGACATCTTGTCATTCATGTTAATTGCCATTTAAAAATTTTTAAATGATTCAAGTATCAGATTATCGGTTTATATACCCTTCTCTCGTCCAAGGCAGAACCTGTTCTGTAAACCCTACAAAATTTCTCACTCCAAGAATATAAAGCCAAGCCATTTTTAAAAATGAAGCCAAGCCAAAAATTCTAAAAATCGATATAAAGCCACGCCCACTATTACACAAAAAATCCATAAATTTAATTTCCTAGTCATTATACAAATTTATAATTAATTATTTACAAATTAGTTACAAAATTTTTTCATCTTTTAAAATGTCTCAAGATATACCATCAGGTAAATATTTCTATAATTTCTTTCTAATAATATATTTAAGAAAGTGTTAATGCAAAGGTTGTGGATTCAGAACAGGAGAAAAAAGATTGTATTACTAAACCTTTGACACTGGTGCAAGAGAAAGAATTAGTTGTTAAAAACTCTTCAGGTTTTATCAATTAACCATTTTCAATAAAAATTTTTAAAGATAATAGTCCTGTGGCATTAAATGAAATAAAAATTGTCAAAGAAAAAACTGTTAAAAATCAACTTTGGAAACTAATTCGTGCAAAATTCTTAATTACTTTTTATCTGTGCCAAGGTGAGAACAATTAATATTCTATTCGAAATTTTATTTTAGAATGTCAAAACAACTTATTCTATTCGCAAGATAAATTTTACGAGAATTCTTCTGGGGTTACAGTGAAAATAGGATTATGTCATAAATGTGTCGAAGCTAACAGCAAAGCTACAGATTTTCTGGCACCGTACAAAAAGGTTGGCAGCAAAAGAAAAGCCGATTGAATGGGATAAAATGACAGTAATTAAAAAATCGTTTTAAAATTAAAAAATTTCGTTGTAAAATTTAAACATTGAATTGATAAAATATTTAAATTTAAACGAGTTATTCTAAAATATTAAAACTTAATTAATATTACTTATTAAATTTGTTTAATATTTATTTCAACCATTATTAACCCTTGACCACTTAGTTTTTGGGGGAGAAGGAATTAGGAAAGACAAAGTATCGACGTGAGTGGGGAAAACCAGCGACTAACAAATTTATATTATTTATATTACTACTCATCTAAAATTATACTTTTAAAAAGAAAGAGTATATTATAAAATTTATTTATTTAAAAAATGTTTAAGAATTATATTTTTAAGACCAGTTAAATCATTAAAATAAAATTTTTAAAATAATCAATTTGATTATAACCTATAAAATTTCTAAATTTCCGGTATACACATTTTTTCTTATCATCCATTATTTATAATGTTCTTTTTTCTTCTTCTCAAACAAATTTTGACATTTTGTCCATTTTTCCTGTTTCAGATGGTTGAAGTTTCTAAGGGAAAAATATTTAAAAGAGAAAATCTCTTATTTAAATTTTTTTCGAATTCTATTAAAAATTAAAGGTTTTCTATTTAAAATTTTTTATTTAAAAATTTTTTTAAAATTACAATTTTTCCAAAATTAATTTCCAATGGAGGGCATTCACATCTTTGTTTAATTGTTTGTAACTTAATTGAACAACTAAAAAATTTTTTTAGAAATATTTTACTTCAATTTGTTCTCCTTTATTTTTATAAACGGTTCTGTGCCTTGTTTTATTATATACTTGTCGATTACATAAGCAATTTGTACATATTGAAACCAACTGAAAAACAAAATTTAATACCCACATAAAAATAAATTTATTTTTTAATTACTTTAAACCCCAGCAATAAGATAATACAACTAAGCTTAATAAGATAAGTTTGAAATTGAAAATAAACATAATTTTTCAGAAAAAGAAAAGGATTTGTTAAAAATTTCTTAAAAATATAAAATTTAGATATTAAATTTATTATAAAAAATAAAATTGTATATTAATATAATAAAACTTTTGTATTATCTTATTGCATCAACTACCCCTGTACTTTTCCTTCAAACTTTAAATTAAAATATTATTTTTTATTAAAAAACATACAAAAGAAAAAACATCCAAAATTTATTTTTACGCAGTCTTTTGTTCTCTATGCAACCCTTTAAATTATTAAGAAAGACACATCGAGAGAGATAACCCAGAAGATCAACTCTAGAAATTCAATAGGTGACCTTTAGGGTTAGCCCACCTAGTGTGAATTATTAATAGTAAAAAATTAAAAAACAAATTAAAATTTTATACAAGAAAAATTAGTCAATGTCTCGTTTCACTTATTAGATTTGATGCTCTAAAGAGAGCATTTTGGGTTCTGTAAAGCATTCGCCATTTGTCCATCGTCCACCAAATTTTCGCGCACTCAAACACTATTTTTAAATTCACCTTGTCCCCTCCACCAACCAATTAGTTACCATATTCTACTCCCCATCAATTAGTAAAAACAAATTAGTTCGGACCCCTCTCCCAAAATAATTAATTAGGTACTAATTAGCTCGGACCCTTCCCCCATTAATAATTAATTAGGTACTAATTAGTTCGGACCCCTCCCCCCATTAATAATTAATCACCCTTACGACAGGATCAAAAGAAAATGCCGACAAAATCCCCCCATATCCACAGGATTTCTCGGACCCCTCCCCCAGACCCCTCCCATAGGTTGGCGGCATCCCTTTGATCATCAATCAAAGGGATGGCGGCATCCCTTTGTGCGAAAACCGGGGGGTTAACTACTTCGACTATATAATATCTCAAATAAATACTTTGTATTATATTTAATATACATATTTTTTAAATTTGTCCGCAAATTTTTGTCCGCATTTTTTTTTTGTCTGCAATTTAAAAAAAATTAAAAAAATTTTTTTTAGATACTTGTTTTTAATTTAAAAAATATTCATTTTTGAATGAATTTTTGTATCTTTTTTTTTTTATTTTTGGTTTCAATTAATTTTTTCGTGTTTACACAAAAAAATTATTTATTTTTCCCCAAAACTTGAAAAATAAAAGAAGGGATGAGTCATCCAAAAAAATAATTTTTTAAAAGAAAAATTAAAGATGTGTGTATATTTATATTTTTTAGAAGAAAATGATTGATGAAATTGTTAATTTAGAAGAAAATTGTTTTTAATAAAATGGGGGACAGAATTTTTAAAAAAATAGGAATTTTTCGAGAATATAGGTTTTGTCCGCAATTTTTGTCCGCAAAAAAATTATGGTAGCAACCCGACCCGGAAGACCCAGATTCCGACGGATTTTTTTAGCAAAAACCCTGACCCGAACTCAGACATGCCCTCCCCGGCAAACCCCGATCCGAACACCGACATACTCGCCCTCGAAGGTTCGGGTTGCTACCTAAAAAAGACTATAGAAAAAATTTTTTAAGTTTGTCCGCAAATTTTTGTCCGCAAAAATTAATTACATTTTTAAAAATAAATACATGTTTGGCGCGTTTATTTTCTTATTTTTTCTTGGCATTGAGTCAATTTCTTTTTATTTTTTTGTTTTTGTACTGCGCCAAAACTAGAAACAGGGAAGGAAGTTATAATTTTATAAAATTTTTTTTTTCAGATTTTTTAGAAATTTTTTTATTTTTGTATCTTTTGGATTAAAAAAAATTTATTTAACTCAATTAACACTTAAAAATGGCAGAGGAAAGTTTTGTTAAATCACAGGTTTTTTTGTTTGATAATTTTTTAAACTTTTTTAAATTTTAAGTTGGCTGCGTTCTGCAAGGCGTTAAACAAAGTCGAAGCACCGCTCAAACAAAAACATGTTAGGGCATTGGTTGTTGGAACGGTTAGTTTATTTTTTGTTTGTTTTTGAAAATAGGCCTTTTTTGGGGTCTGTCCTTTTTTCTTTCTTCATCGGATCGTGATTAGATTACTGCCTGGTTTTTGAAAGTCACTTAAGTTGCTAATTTGTTTCTCCGTTTTATACGTTTCATGAATTCGAGTAATTAAATTCTCTTTGGGTTTAGAATTATGGTTTTTAGGGTTCTTAGCGTTAATTGTTCGAAACTAGTGTTGCGCCGGAAGTTCCAGGATTTTTTGGTCCGGATTGGTTGTAAAGTCGGAGCGAAACACTACTCGAAACCTATGCCCATTCCCATAAAATAGCATAAGATTAATGAGACTTTTCCAATGCAATGTTGTTAACTGTCTTTTGTCACTATCCCACCACTTATTTTTAGGCACGTAGCCAGGAAAATTTTTAGAGAAGTTGAGTAGTTTCCTGCCCAACGACTGAATTTTCATTTTTGCTAAATTGTCTCGGCTAGTAAGAAACTTAGTCCAATCTTAATTCCTCGGTGTTTATTTAAATTTTTATTTTTTTTTCAGCACAAACTCCGCTCTTCTCGTATTTTTTGGCATTCAGTTTCACGTATTCAATTAGAAAAGAATCCTGTCTTGACTTGGAAATTTTGTCAATTACTTCATAAATTAATTCATGATGGACACAGGAAAATAACAGAGTCTTTATAATTTTTTATAAAAAATTTTTTGTTTTAATTTTTAGAGAAAGTGTTGGGCATGTTTCTCGTTTAAATCAATTGGGCAATTTTTGGCAACATTTGAGAAGTTCTGGTTATGGACAGGCCAATACATGTTTGTTTTTGGAATTTTTAATTTTTGTAGGATAGCCTAATTTTCCAATTTTTTCCTAAAAACTTTTCCTGATCGTTTGTGAGATATCCTTTGGGTTGTAATTTCATTAGGAAATACTGTTGAACTTGGATTTTTTTGGAATTTGGAGGGGATTTGGAAATTTTGTCCCATGACCTTGTCACAAGCTTGTCCCATGAGCTTGCCCCAAGACCTTGTCCCAAGAGCTTGGGGTGACCCCAATTTTTATTCTTCCCCTTTGTTTATCTTCCCACCAGCAAATCGCCTTTTATAAATTTTTTAAATCTTTTGGAAACCAGAGACACAATCTCGAAAAAATCTCTTTTATAGGGGTCGATATTTTTGAAAAATAGTTTTCGATTCTCGTTAACTCCCAACTCCAAGTATAGCTTGTACAATTCCCAGTCATTGTATCTTATTTTTAAGGTTATTGTAAATTACTTGTTAGCAGACTCCAATTCCATAAAAAGGTTTATTTTTAATTTTTTGGGAGTTTTTCAAAATTCATTTTTAGTACCCAAGTATTCCTGGCAATTTGAATTTAAATCAACGACAGCTGGACACACTTTGTTCTGATATAAATGAAACTTATGAATTAGCTATCGATATGTTGGACCAGATGGATGAACTGTTGAATTTGAAAGCTACTAGTTTGTTTTATTTTTTTGGAATTTTTAAATTTGGGTTTTTTATTTCAAAATGGTAATTTGTGAATTTTTTATTAGACGAGTTGCAAGGGGTGACACGAGTTACTTGAAACTCTGACTTTACATCTCGAAATCCGATCCAAAAGGTTTTTCTAATCTTGACCTGAAGCTTGACCCGACTTTCGAAACCCAAGCTGACTTTTTTTTCAACCTGTGAGATCCATGTTAAGCGCTGCTGTTCTGTTTGCTCTCTATATGGGCAATTTTTTACTTTAAATTAAAATCAGCGAGTCAACAATAAATGTTAGCTTATGCGGTAAGAGTGTATCCATGGGTCGGATTTCAGGACGACTTGATAAGGTGTGCGGCAAAACTTTGGTTTTTTCTGAACTGACATCCCGACTTTTTATGAAACTAATGTCATTTGACGTAGACTAGAAAATTTTTTAAACCGTGGTAGGAGGAAAATGGAAGCAGTAATATCGTCAAGTCCCTTCGGACTCGAAAATCAATCCTATACCTATTCAATAAAAATAGCCTTTTATTTTTCTAGTAATGTCAATAATGGATTCTATGCGTTGGAGTTCTCTTGTTCCACAAGGCCAATGTTTATTGGCCCCATTAATTTTGGTTATTCTTGATACTTCCAAATTTTGTTTGTTTTTTTATTTTTTTTTAATTTTTATAATTTTTTTGAAGACGATTTTTTGGTCAAAGCCCATTTTAAACTTCACAAAAGTTTGCCAGCCGATACTTTAGTTGGACATAGAGAACGTTTTTATGATTTATTTAGACGAACAAAAAAGTTTTATGAAGAGACTGCAAATTTGCAATATTTTAAATATTTGGTACAAATTCCGACTTTGCCATCGGTTTGTTGATTTTTTTTGTTTAAAAATAATTTTTTGGAAAAATTTTTTGAAATTTTTTGAAATTTTTTGAAAATTTTTTTGGAAATTTTTTTTCAAAATTTTTTGAAATTTTTTGAAAATTTTTTCGAAATTTTTTTTTATTTTTTCGAGAATTTTTTTGAAAAATTTTAAAAATAAATAGATTGCTCCAAATTTCCAACAAGCATCTGAATTGGAGGATTATAGAGCTCCCCAAGCTTATTTGCATGCTGGTACGACTTCAGAAAATGGTGATCAATCGCCGCCAGATTCGCAGTCTGTTTGTGATGAGGTTAACTTTTTAAAGTTTGAAATGGTAATATTTCGAAATGGTTAAATTTTAAATTGTTGTGGAATGGTCAAAATTTGGATTTGAGGATAAAGTCACCTCGTTATTAAATACCCCTTGGGATTATGAAGATCAAGGGCGTATCCAGGGGGTCGATTTCAGGGGGGCTAATATATGGGATACGCCTTTGATGAAGATTATCTTACAATAAAGTTACCTTAAATAGAGAAGGTTATTGAGTTGTCCCTCCTTTCCCAGTAGCCTTTTGAATAAAGCTTCTTGAGACTCTCTAATTCTTGGATTAATTTTTATTGATATTTTCTCATTTTTTAAAGCAAATAAGCAGCATAATTGACATTTCTCTGCCTCAAATGGACAATATTTCAATGATGGGGGATTCTATTGCTTCATCCACCTTACCTCCGTCTACTTCAAATAATGCTGGTGCTCAACCAATTTTCGATCCAAAGTTTATTTTTTAGTTTATTTTTTACTTTTGAGATTTTTAGAGATGAAATTATTGCTCGTTTACGACTTGATATTGATGCTGAAAGGGATGTAAAGGAAAAATTATTTGAAGGTTTTTATTTTGTTTTTATTTTTAAAATTACTTTGGGAGCTCATTTAAGGGATATACCCCTGTGAGATGAAAAACTTTATTTTAGAATAGAGTATTGCTTCTCTGAGTTGTTGGTTTGAACCTAACCTAACAATAAGAATCGAATCGTAAAATCCTCGGTATGTTCCAAAACTGATAAACTAGGTGCTGAGAATTCGGTAAAGTTGGGAAACGAACTGATGGACCTATAGGATTTTGCGATTGAACCCCCTGATATTGAATATGGTTTTGAATCCCTTATCACTCTTAAATTCTCTTTTTTATGTTTTTCAAGACCAAAATTTTTTTTTTGAAATTAAAACTATTTACTTGTTTCTGCATTAACTGACCCAAATTAATTTTTAAAGTTTTTTCTTTTCTCAAAAAAAAATTTTTTTCTTTAAGAATGCAAAAATCGAATAGAACAATACGAAGCTAGATTACTCCATATGAACCAAGAAATTGATTTGCACAAAGAAGCTACTGAAGAAAAAACAAAAGAATTGGAAGAATTACGTGTATTGAGTACAACTTTGGGTCAAGAACGTCAACAAACTTCAGAGGAGAGTAAACGAAAAGTTGATGAAACTGAACATAAATTTGCAAAATTAAAAGGAGCTTATCAACAAATACGTGAAGATCATATTAAGGTTTGATATTTTTTTGGAATTTATCGATTTGATATTTAAACGTTTGGTTGCCCCGACCCCTTTTTTGTCTATTTTCCTGTTATTGGGGAACGTGCCAGTAGATAGTAGTGCCCGGTAAAACCATTTTTAATGTTAGAATCAGAAAATTGGATTTTGGATTTATTGTAGAAATGGACCCGTCCGAATTTTTCCAAATTATTCGGCTCGGAGATCGTAATATGGGGACTACGGTTGGGGCCCGGTCCGATCCGAGAGATTCAGTCGGGCATCGAATTTTGGCCTGAAAAAGACTCGACCGAGAGAGACTTGATCGTAAAAATAAGGCCTGAAAAAATGACTGAACATCGGCCAGACTCGTAAACCCCAACCCTATTGGGGACCTGAACTCCGGAAATATAGAGTGGGACCGGTCTGTCGTTTGACACTTGTGGTTTCAAAAATTGTTACGCTTCTCATGATGATCCTAATTTAAAATTTTTAAAAATTAAATTTGCCAATATTTAAAAATTATTTTTAGGCTCTCACAGAGATTCGCGATTTGCGGGCTAAAATAGATTCGAATGTTAAAGCATCAGATACAAAAAATGAGGAATTGACTCAATTAAAAGCTAAAATGGAGCAAGATGGACTTGAACGGGAATTTTTTGAATCTCAGGTTTTTTTTTAATTTTTATTCAAAAAATTTTTTCAATTCTAATTGTAAGGCCAAAACACTTCAAGAAAGTATACAAATAAAAGGACAAAAATTGATTGAATGTCAAACAAAAATTGAACAATTAGAATCTCATCTGGAAGAATTTGAAGATGTTTTGGGTAAATTCAAGGTGGAATCAGCAGAAAAATTGAAAATTGCGGAAGAGGAGAAATTAAAAATTGGAAATGAATTTTTAGGTTTTTTGGAGGTTTTTTAATAGAAAATAATTTTTTTCAAAGATTGTATAACTTCTTTTGCATTGAATTTAATGGAACAAACTAGTGAGGATTCTCAAAATGCTACTTCAATTTCTTATCCACCACGTTAGTTTTTTTTTTGAATTATTTTTATCCGTTCCATCCTCACACAAGAGTTAGGTTGGAAGTCTAATTTAAGATTTTCTCGGTTTTCAATACCTTCAAAATCCCTGGCAGGCACGCCAATTCCTTTCATATAATTTTTTTATATTTTTATGGGGGGGGGGCAGTGCTTTTCGAATAAAAATTTTTTCAAAATGAGGGAATGGGGTTCCACAAAATTTGTCTAATTTTTTTCAACTTTTGAGGGAGAGAAGAGGAGTATTCCAGGGACGAACCGACAAGGAAACCAAATTCTCTATTTCGGGAAATCAGATTCCTGACCAAAAAAAACGTCGGGAATCAGGACGGCTCGTTCCCTGGTGTATATTCACACAAGCAAATTGTGTTTAATTTTCCCAATTTTTTCCTATTTTTAAAGATTTGGCAACTTCAAAACTTAAATCATTTATTGAACAAAAAGAATTTATTAATTCAATGTTTAATAATAACAACAATTCAAAGAATGAATTCTACAAAAGTATTTTACTTATTGCCCAGAATATGTCAGATATTTTATTGGTTTGCCCATCTGCTGCATATACAGCATCTATTCAACATTTTGAAGGTTTTTTTTGGAAAATATTTTTTTAGTTTTTTAAAATGTAAATGAGATGGTTTTTGTTGTTTTGAGAAATAGATTCTATTCGATGATTTATTTCTTATATTAAGAAAAAATTTCGTGTTTGGTTAGGGACCTTTTCCTTTGTTTTGGGAATTCTTTTTAAGTCGCCATCAATTTTACTTTTCGTTTCCCTGACCATTTTGAGCCTTTTTCCTTCTCTTTTATTCTTCGTTGTAAGTGCTAGGTATCACAAGGATTAAGGAGCAAATAAAATTTTTTGGGATGATTTCACTGCTTATAAAATGGGTGCGCGAATTTCGCCTTTCGTCTTTCGCCGATTTTCGCCTTTTTTGGACCTTCGCCTTTCGCTTTTTAAAATCACTTTTGGCACAACCCTGTTATATAATAATGATGGAGTAAACCAAGAGTTTAAATAAGGAAGGATAAAAATGGGAGGAGGGAGGGGATCTCAACTTCACTATTACTAAAATATTTTTTTATTTTTTCTAGAAGTAAACGAACAATGTCGTCAAATTCAACAATTATCTTCCACATTCATTAAAGAAAAGAATTTGGAATCTTTAAATGAAATATGGAAAGAATTGGAAAATTTAGAAAATTTAATGTTGGGATTACCTAAAGAAAATGTTGATTTAGATGTTAATACAGTTGGTAAACAATTGGAAGAAGAAATGAATTGTATGACTGAAGCTATAGCTGCTGCTGTTGAACATATTAATGAATTACAAAAGAAAAGGTTTTTTTAAATTTATTTTTGGGGTGTTTTTGGAATAATATGAGGGATTTTTAAAGAGGTGACATTTTGTCCCATAATTTTTTTTGTTTTTTGTTGCAGTTAAATTTCATTTTTAAATACCGTTAGAATTACGGAAGTACCTCCCAATTTGGTCGGGGGATTTTTTAAATTTTGAGGTGACATTAAGTCCCGAAATGATCGAACGTCACTTATAGAAAAAATACCCCCCCCTCTTCTAGCAAGGAAAAAACTTTTTTCGGCTCCAAAGGGTGTATCTAAAAATTAGGGTTTTGACTTTATTTGCCAATTATATGGCTTTTTTTGTGCCAGCCTCTTATAGTTAGGTTCCTAAAACCCACAGAACTAGGCATATCAGAAATTTAATTGCAAGACATTTCATCCCACTTTTTTTTTTAAATTTATTTTTGGGTTTTTATTCTAAAAAATTTTTTAAAAAATTTTTATTCTAAAAACCCTTTAAAACACAGCCGAACCTCGTTGTATCATCCTTTATGGGCCAAGTTGAGAAAAGGGTTAGGGGGTTGATTTCAGGGCGGGTTTTTTTTTATTTTTAACATATTCTAAAAACCCTTTAAAAAATTATTTTTTTTAGACAATATTCTAGTAATCCCTCAAAAATTATTTTTTCTAGTCGTGAAACAAATATTGGAATAAAATTGGAAGTAAATGACAAAATATTAAATTCTTGTAATGAATTAATGGGTGCTGTTAGAGAATTGGTAATAAAAAGTAAAGAAGTTCAAGAAGAAATTGTTTCTAATGGAAGAGGGCAAGCTACCCCTATTGAATTTTATAAAAGAAATCATTTGTGGACTGAAGGTTTTTTTTTTTTGAAAAATTTAATGACATTTGATCCCATATTTTTAATTTTAAAGGTTTAATTTCTGCTGGTAGAGCTGTTGGTGTTACTGCAACTGAATTAGTGTAAGAAAGAAAAAAAATTTTTTTCCCTAATTGTAATACAGCCGAACCTCATCCTCCCTTAGGATTGGAAAAATCCTGTGCCTTATAGCAAGGGCGTAGTTAGGGGGTTGATTTCAGGGCGGGTTTTTTTTTTCTCAAATTTTTCACCTTTTCCCATTTCGGGGAGGGGAGCTTTAGCCCCAGAAGCTCCCTGGTTACGGCCTTGCCTTATAGTGAGCTGTGTCTTAAATAGAGGATTTCTTTTGAGCAGCTCCTTTATGGTCCAAGTTGAGAAAAGGGTCAGGTCAGGATTCGAATAGGGTGTTTCGGGTCAGTAAAGTTCGGATTTTCGGAACCTTACTGTATTTCTCCTAAAAAAATTTTTTTTATTTTATTTTTTTTATTCCTCTAGGAAATCAGCAGACAAATTAATAATGGAAAAAGGTGGCAAATTTGAACATTTGATAGTTTCTGCTGGTTCTGTTGGTGCTAGGTTTATTTTTTTATTTTCTTTTTAAATTAAAAATAAAATTTTCAACAATATATGTAGTCTCGAAAATTTTTTAACAAAAAAAATTTCTGGACATTAGAGTCTCAGAAATGTGATTTTTAATTTTTCGCGAAATTTAAAAAAATTTTCTTTTTACGAAATTTCGTCTAAAATTTTTTACTTTTCGAAATTTTGTTTTTTCGTGAAAAAATTTTTCGAAATTTTGTTTTTTCGCGAAATTTCGTGAAAAAATTTTTTTAATTTATTTCCCTTTCTAGTGTTGCCCAACTTTTTGTTTCTTCACGTGTAAAGGCAGATAAAAATTCTCAAAAATTGGTTGGACTTGGAAAAGCTTCAAAAGATGTAAATAAATGTACAGCAAATTTAGTTGGAATTGTTAAACAAGGACAACAATCACTTGGGGAAGAAAGTATGGATTTTTTTTAAAGGGAAAATTTAATTTTTAATTAATTTTTAAAGAATTACTCGATTTTTCAAATCTTTCATTGCATGAAACTAAAAAGGAGGAAATGGAGTCACAAGTGCGTGTTCTTGAATTGGAAGCGGAATTGTCTAGGGAAAGGTTGGGGAAACTTTTTTTAATTTTCGAAATTTCGGGATTTTCACGAAATTTCGTCTAAAAATTTTTTGAAATTTTAAATATTCGAAACTTTGGATGATCACAGAATTTTGTGGTTTTCACGAAATTTCGTTTAAAAATTTTATTTTCGAAATTTCTATTTTCACGAAATTTCGCATATTCGCGAAATTTCGTGAAATAATTTTTTTCGAAATTTTTTCTGAAAAATTTTTTTTTTCTTGTTAGGCTTCGATTCGCAGCATTGCGAAAGCAACATTTTCATATTGCTCAGTTAGTCTCTAATAACCAGGAAAATGGAGGTGGTAATGGAGAGACTGACACCTCACCACCTGAGTCTTGATTTACTTTTTTTTAATTTAAGAGAATCTCCCAAATTCGTAAAAATTTATATTGGGTGTTTTTGGATATTGAGAAAAATGTTTATTTTAAGATTTTTTTTAAATTTTTTCTAATTTCGAAATTTCGTATTTTTACGAAACTTCGTGAATTTCGCTTTTTTCGAAATTTCTTTTTTTTCGAATTTCTTCCTCTTCTCATTTTTCTCTTAAAAAGTGTAGCAATTTAAAATATTCTCTTAACTCAAATTGAAATTTAAAAAAATTTTTTTGCCCATTTTTTAAATTTTATTACTTATTGTTTTGTCCAATTTTCTGACTTTTTCAAGAAAACATTCTATCTTTTTAGTTCTTTAGAAAATTCTCTATTTTATTGAAAATTACTATTTTACGGTTTAATAGGATCTGATTTATGGGCATGCCTAAAGTCCCAATGCATTAGCTGAAAATTTAAATCAAATTTTTATTTTCACGAAATTTCGGATGTTTCACGAAATTTCGTAAATTTTTTTTGAAAAAAAAGTAATATTTAATGGGACGCATGCTGCAAACCAGAACCTTTACATTAAAAAAAATTTTTTTTAATATTATGAATTACAAAATAAAAATATATATGCGATTTCTTAAATCTGGGTTTGTTGGAAATTAAATATTAAAAAATATTATTATGGGAAAATTCGACTAAAAAAGGGAAATTGAAAAAAAATGGGGGAGTGTTTCTAATGAAACAAAAAGGTTTGGGTATTAAGATTAAATTCTGAAAATTAAAAATCAGAAATTCTGGTTCTCAGAAATTCTGATTGAAAATCAGAATTAGTGGATTAAAATCAGAATTTCAGAATTTTTAATCAAAAATTCTGATTTTCAGACCAGAAAAAATATTCTGATTTTAAAAATCAGAATTTTTTATTAGGATTCTGGGGGGTTAATTATATATACAATTAATTATTTTTAGTTTTAAACCTTCTTTTAGTTTTATTCTTTATTACAAGTTGGTGGCCTAGGTGTATGTGGCATTTGCACTTTTGTTGGTGGAAGAATTTGTTCAGATTCAGAATTTGCACTATCAGAATCATTTTCCCCCACAACATTAATATTATTTGAAGAATCCATAGAAACTACTCTTCTCCCAAAAATTGATGATTTTCCTCCTCCCCCATCTATTCCACAAGGCGTAACAACAATTGAAGGTCTGCGTTGGTGTTCATCTCCTTCATAAAGTTCAAATTTGTCGTCTACTGCTAAGGAAGCTAATCGAGACATTAAATCAAGGTTACAGACAACGGGGGCCATTTCGGCGTGTTGAACCTTTTAAATTTTTTTGAATTTTTAAGAGGGGTGGAGTCCAACCCCTCACTTTAAGATAACAATTGGGAGTAAAAGGGTTCATAATGAGGTGTCTTAAATAGGGAGATGCTTGTCTGGGTAGCTCCCCAATGGTCAGAAAAATAAAAAGCGGAGAAAGGCAGTAAAATAAAAAAATATACCCATCCAACAGGAGGCGAACTTGGCGGTGATATAAGAAATTGTTTCTCTAGAGGAGGCAATTTTAAATGCCCCTGTTCATCCTGATCCACTCTTCTAGCCATTTTTATATTTTTGGCAAAGAAAGCTTTCATTTTTGCTCCGTTAAATGAATGGTGTTCAACAAGTAATTTTGCAGCTAAAAGGGGATATTAGAGTCTCAAGTCCAGAAAATCCGGTACCTGTGTAGTTTACCCCCCATAAGCCCCGCCCTTTTATTTTCTATAAAATGATCAAACGGGTCTATATTTTCATTGTGGTCACTTTCTAAAGAAAAAGGAAGAGAGGACAAAGGGGGCGGGGCTTATGGGGGGTAAATTACACAAGTATTAAATACGAACCTGTAGCATGCTCTGGCTTTTCAAAAACGATGCGAACACGTTGAAAACTTTTTAGAAAATCAATTCGGATAGGATCAGTGTCACAAGTAATTTGTTGAAAAAGTGATCGAAAATTTGATTTTTGTTCGGGGTCGTCAAACAATTCTTTTGGCACATCCTAAAAAGATGGATTGGGTAGGAAGCAATTAGTTAGACCAGCCAAACCTCACTATAGGATAGGATTTACCCTTAAGGGTCCATTCTCGGGATCAACTCCCATAGACCTTAGAGGATCAGTTGACCTAGAGAGTTGACCTTTTGGGTTGGTCCCAAGCTAGAATACTTCCGGTACCTTAAATTAAACGTACGGTTTTTCGATCCCTATGGGGACACCTTATAGTGAGGTCTGAGGGATCAACCCGAATTTTTTGGGGCAAGTTGATTAATCAAAGCAGACTTACTCTAATAATTATTGCAGTAGGTAAAATTTCTTTATCACAGACTGTCTCTTGTTCATGTTGTTGTTGCTGTTTTTCTTCTGTCAAGTCGGACACTACCGGGGGTCTTTTTTCTAATACATTCATTTTTGTAGATATTTTAAAGGGGGGTTTTAGGTCGATAAGAGGAAAGTTTAAGAGATAACTCTTTAAAAAGGCTAAACTTTTTAACAAAAAAATGTAGAAAACTTTAGAAAAAGCAAGTTAAGTATGTGTAAATACTAACACAAAACAAACAAAAAAAAACAAGAAAAATTGTCAGTGCCATATAGTGCTTCTCCTCTTTGTGAGGAATTCTTATTTTCCATTTTGGCACTCTCGGCTTTTTTTTTAATAATTGGATTCAATTTTTTGGGGGGAAATGAAGAGAAAGTGTTGTATATTTAGAGAGGCAAAAGTAAAGGCAAAATAAGGAAGAAAAAAGAAGTTTTGAAGGTTTTCCTCAATTTTAGTAGTTAGCGTCGATTTTGTTCTCAACTGACTGTTTCCTTGTTTAATTCGGGGATTGTGGAGAAGAAGAGAAATTGAAACAGAAAAATAGAGAAAGCAGAGAGATAGAGAAAGTATTTATTTTTTATAAACGACAAAATGCCAGCGGTAAAAATGCCAGCTAACAATGCTTTTCCTCGTTTTCCCCAGCGCTTTTCCTATCGTTTCGACATTTTGTCAATTTTTGGCCTTGTTGGCATTTTGTCGTTTCTGTCTTTAGTATTTTAATAAAGAAGTTAGTGTTAGAGTATACAAGTTAGAGAATTAGAAAAACAAATTTAGCTGCACATTAAAAGTTTAACAAAAAACCACACAATGTTAATGGGGGGCGAAAGCGTTGTGTTTCCGTAAACAAGATTAGCTGAAAGAGAAAATATATATATTATATATTTTTTGATAAGGGATTAGGGCTAGTTAATTTTATTTTTAGCTTTTGTGGAATTTTGCTTAGACTCTAGTGTCAAGTTTTTAATGCACATCTTTTTGAGAAATAGTAGGGGTTAGAGAAAAAGAGAGTTTTTTGCGTGTCCGGACAAAATATCGAATCGTTAAAATATGGAATAGGCTAAAAAAGGGTTAAAATCTCGAATCGGGTAAAAAAGGGTTAAAATCGCGAATAGGCTAAAAAGGGGTTAAAATGTGGAATTGTTAAAATATGGAATGGTTAAAATATCGAATCGGGTAAAAAAGGGTTAAAATATGGAATCGTTAAAATATCGAATTGATAAAATGTCGACACGGCCAAAATAGGTCAAAATGTCGAATTTTTTTTAAAAATGGCGCCAAAACCTAGAATCCGGGCGTTACCGTAATACCGACGGTATTTTTAGGTATTCTGTGTCGGTTGTACGGTACGGTATCCGACCGATAAAATTTAAAAGCTGATCGGTATTTTTCGGTATTTCGTACCGTATACGGTAAGGTCAAACTTTAGGTCTTAACTAAAAACTAATGCACACCACTCTAATTTTTCCATATCAGGATCGCGTTATGTTTTCCGGATCCGTAAGATCATGCCGGACCGGATCCGGTCGATTATGCTTGATTTATCCGGTCCGGTTTTACTCGATAAAATACAATGAACTCTGGCAGAAAAGATTGCGCCGAACTACGACATAAGAGACTTATCAATCAACTTATCATCAATAAGTTGATAAGTTGATAAAATCATCTACAATCAGCGTATGGCACTCATCTGACCCTTTTTTAAAAGAATTCGACATTTTGACCTATTTTGGCCGTGTCGACATTTTTACTATTCCATATTTTAACGATTCCATATTTTAACCCTTTTTTACCCGATTCGATATTTTAACGTTTCCATATTTTAACGATTCGGTATTTTAACCCCTTTTTAGCCTATTCGCGATTTTAACCATTCCATATTTTAACGATTCCATATTTTGTACCGGAGCCGTTTTTTGTGTATTTTTCTTTTTGGCGTTGTTTTTTAGAGAAGGTGTTTCCAGCGATTATTTATTTTAGTTTTTGGCTTGATTTATTACCATTTCTTTTTCTGGTGTCCTTATATTTTGACAAGCAGACGCTAAAACTTCTACCTTTGTGTCTATTTTTGGCAAAATGTCCATTTCTGACCTTAGTGGCGAAATGTCCATTTTTGATTTATTGGCGAAATGTCCATTTTTGTCCTTATTGGCAAAATGTGTTTTTTTATTTTTTTCTAAATTTGTTTGGTTTTTGTTAGATTGTTGGTTAATTTAATAAAATTATGAGTTCCTCTTCGGGTCAACAACAACAATATCCTCAAAATGAGCAAGAACAAACAACAAGTTTTAATATACCTTCAATTCCACCTACAAATCAAGGAGAAGAAGAAGCAAATAATGGTCATTCTTTAGCTTGTTTGGCTATTTTAAAAAGAATTTCTGATGTATTTATTGTCTGTCTAATATGTTTTGTTGGAATACTTTATGTAAGGATTTTTAATGAATTTTTAAAAAAAAATTTTTTTCACACAGCCTTGTCTACTTAATTTGCCATATTTTCTCTTCTTCTTAACAATTTTAACGTGGCTAGCAATTTATACTCCTTTAAGAAGGCGAAAATTTAATTTTGTCAAAAATGCTATTCTTGGCTATATAATTGTTCACTTTTTGGTTTTAATTGCATATCAATTTGTATTTTTTCAACAATTTGTGGAGCCGACGTCTTTTATTGCGAGGTTTAAGATTTTAGTGTTTAAGGGATAAAAGTCGATTTGTATGGGTTTTCGGATTTTATTTTAGTCAATAAATTAGTTTTGAGTAATAAGTCTCAGAGGCCGAATGGTTAGCGTTTTGGGTTGGTAGGGCGAAGGGTTGTAGGTTCGATACCCTGTTGGGGTTGCGGGTCTTTTCCAACCATTTTTTGACTTTTTAGTTACCTAAAGGGTCTAATATATTTTACAAAATATTTTTTCAGATTATTTGGCCTGCCCGTCTTAATAAAATATACCGGTTTGCATTGGTGGGATTTTCAATTAAACCAAAGTGTTGGAATTGTGCCTTTTCTAAATTTTGTTTCTTTGCCTATTCTCTACTTGTTTCTATCTATACAATTGAGGTTTATTTTAAAAATTATTTTTTCTCTTTGTTATAAATTAAAAAATAAATTTTTTTTAGCTGGACAAAAGATGGAACCAAATCAAGAAGTTTAACAGCAACAGATCACTCAAGTAGAGGACAGGGAGAAGGGGATGATGAGTCGTTACATGATGAGGTTTTATTAAAAAAAAGATTTTTTAGATGATTTTTGATTTTTTCTAGTTACTCCTAAACACGGCAGGGAATGATTCTGTTGATATTATTGCTTTACAAAGAATTACGTCGCACGTTATGGATCGTGAAAAAATTAAGAAATTGATTAAATGTATATTTTTTAATTTTTAAAAATATGGGTTTAATAAAGGCTTGAAAACCAAAAAATTTTAAAAACCTGGATTCTTGATTTTAGGTAAGAACCTTTAACCAGATTTCTGACTTATAGTCAATGAAAATCAAAGAACTCGGAAAATACCTTGGTCTTGACTTTGGATTAAGATTTAAACCATGTTCTGGATCCAGATCCGGGCGATTACTAAAAATTTATTAAAATGATTTTTGAAGGAAAAATTAAGAAAATGAATATTTTTCTAATTTATATTTCCTTTATTTAGCTAGACGTAAAACAATTTCTGGTGCAGCAGCAGCAACCTTATTTTTAACATTACAAGAAATTACATATTTATTTTTGTATCATTGTTATGTTTTTGCTTTAGTTTCAATGCTTGTAAGGAATTTTCTGAAAAATTTTTAATAATTCAAAAATTATTTTTTATAGGTTTGGGCTCTTCTGTATCACTCAATTATTGGCCTTATATTTTTAATTTTGGCATGTTTTCTTTGGGCACTTGTAGATTCTCGTAAATGGTCTTTTCGTTTATCTCCGCTTATTCTTGCATATGTTGAGGTTTTTAATAGAAATATTTTTATTTTTTTTAAATTTTTGTTTTTTTATTTTCTGACCATTTTGAGCCTTTTTTAAAAATTTTTTAAAAATTTTTTTAATTTTCTGAAAAAAATTTTTTAAGTTGCTCTTAATTGCCCAATACATTTACAATATGGATTTGGCAAAGGAATTAAAAAATGATGATTTACTTGAAATTATTGGATTTAAATATGAAGAGAATAAAACAAGAGCTTTTGTTACTATTGTTATTAAGGTTAGTTGAAATTTTTTATAATGTTTTTTTACCGGAAAATTACCTAAAATTATGGTAAATTATTTAGGAAAGGATGGTGAATTATTTGGTAAAAAATTTCTTCATTGAATTATTCAATTTTTAATTTTGACCATTTTGAGTCTTTTTTAGTCTATTTTTCTAGTAGGGTTGAAAAATATTTTTTACTATTTTTCCAAAAATTGACTTGATTCTAATCAGGAAAGGATGGTAAATTATTTTTTAAAGATTCGTCATTAAATTATTTTTTGACCATTTTGAGCCTTTTTTAGTCTATTTTTCTAACAGGTAGAAAGATAACTTTTTACTTTTTTTTCTCTTATTTTTTTATTTTAACATTAAAAACACCTATTTATTTTTTAAGTTTAAAAAATATATTTTTCATTGTACTTTTGTTTTTTTTAATTTCCGCACTTTTATTTTTTTATTATTGTCATGGGACGATTAGTGTTTATTTTATTTTTTTTAAATATTTTTTGAAACGGTTTAGTCTATTCAATGATTCATTTTTTCGCTTTTTTATCTTTGCTATAAATACGCGCCTATCACCCCCAATCGCCTTTTTTATAAAGTAAATGAAAATATTGACTAAAAGGTAAATAAAGCAATAAAAAAAATAATATTGAGGGATTGAAATAAGGGGGAAAAAAGGGAAGAAAAGATTAATTAAAAATAATTTTTTAATTAAAAAAATTTTTTCTGACAAGAAAAAATTTAAAAAACCCCTAGAAAATAAAAACAAATACACACAAAAAATAAATTTTCAAAAAAATTTTTTGCGGACAAAAATTTGCGGACTTTTTGATTTTTAAATTTCTTAAGTCAAAAAAATTTTTTTTTCTTCAATTTTTTAAATTTTTTTTGGTAAATTTTATTTTTATTTTATTAGTTTATTTTTAATTTTTTTCAAACATTTTTTTGACTTGAGAAATATATAAATCGAAAAGTCCGCAAATTTTTGTCCGCAAAAAATTTTTTTTGACTATTCAATTTTTTGGTGTATTTGTTTATTTTTTTTTGGCTTTTTTTAAAAATTTTTCTTGTCTGAAAAGTTAAAGTTGATAGGCATTGGTATAAGTGTTTCTTAAATTTTTTTGTTTTACGTTTTTTTAAATTTGCGGACATAAACTTGCGGACTTTTTTTAATAAAAATTTTTCTCTTTTCTTTTCAGCTTCTCTTAAGCCTACCATTTTTTGCTCTTTCTCGATTAAATCTACGTGAAATAAAATATAATTCTTTGAGTACTCAAGATCGGTTAAAACATCTCAAAAATTATGGAACTTTTGATGAAAGTAATATTGATGGTGGAGGAGGAAAATTGGTTGTTGGTGAGGAAAGAAAAGAGGTTAGTTAGTTTTTAAAGGGGAAGGGGGTTGGTATTGTAGGTAAAATATTCTTTGGGGGATGTTATTGTGGTAAATAGATGGGTTTTTGTTGGAAAGGGGAATAGGTGGATGAGTTGTGAGTGAAGTGATCGAGTTGGGATATAATGTCACTCCTATTTTTAATTTTATTTAAAATTGTTTACTCTTCTTTAACATTTAAGTTCAAGTTGCTTTTGGTGTGCGAGAGAGTTTTTTTTTAATCTAATTAATGGCTGGTCCTAAAAAATTTTTTTTTGAGAGTGGGAGGTAGAGGGGGATGTAAAGGAGTTGGGATAAAATGTCATCCTCTCTCCTTTTTATTTTTTAAAAACATTTCGAGAATTTTAAGTTTGTTTTGGATATAAGAAGGTTCAAAATTATTATGTATTGGAGGGGAAGGGGATCAAAAAATCGAATCTTTCGTTTTTTTGTGGAAAGGGGAGGGGGATGTGAAGGACGTGGGATAAAATGTCATCCTTTCCTTTTTTATTTTTTTTTAAACAATTCAAGAATAATTCTAGAATTATTTTTTATTCTTGTTTTTGATATGAGTAGTTTCAAAATTATTATTGGGGTTATTATTAAGGTTGGTAAAAATTTACCGACTTGGACTAAATGGATACCCTGCGATATTTTGGTCCGGAGACTGCCTGACTCGATAAAATTAAGCCTGAAAGTGACTCATACGGGCCCGACCTGATAAAAACAAACCTGGAAAAATGCCTTGACCGTCAGCCAGAATCGAAAACGACACCCCTAGTTATTTACAAAAAAAATTTTTTTGGGGAAGAGGGTAGGGGGTGGTGTGGGATATAATGTCTCCTTCCTTCCATTTATTTTTAAAATTTTATTTAAAAAATATATTTCTTTTTCAGATTCATTTTGTATTTATATCCAAAGCTTTAACCAAATATTGGATTTTTCTGGTTGTAATTTGTCTTTTATTCAACACTCCTTTAGCTTCCAGCAACAATTTATTTTCTATTGGATTTTTTATTTTCTTTGTTTTTCTTTTGCTTATATTTCAGGTTTTTTTTTAAAATATAATTTTTAAAAAATTAAAAAAAAATTTTTTTTGGGAACAATTTTTTGGTATTTTTGGAAATTCTGAATTTTTCCCTTCCCTCCTTTGGTTTTTGTATTTTTTTATGGGAGAGTTTTTCGACTGAAAAAAAATTTTTTTTTTGACATTGAAAATGATTATTCATTTTGTGTTTCTTTCTATTGTTGAGAGAAATAGAGAATTAGATGAAAAAAAATTTTTTTTGAAAATAATATTAGGTGGGATATAGTGTCATCCTTTGTACTTTTTTTTTTTACAATTTTGATGAAACATAATTTTTTGCTTTTATGTTTGTCAAAAAGTCATTCTCTTTTTTAAATATTTTTTTGGTTTATTAATTTTGCAACAAAAAAGTTGGAGGAAAAAAATTTTTTTCAAAACATGGCCAGACAGACTTTCTGAAAATATCAAAAATTTTGTTCTGAAAAAATCAGAATTTTTGAGAAAATATAAGTTTTCCGGTTTAAAAAATCAGAAAAAAATTCTGGTTTTTTCAGAATAAAACCAGAATTTTTTCTGAAAATATCAAAAATTTTGTTCTGAAAAAATCAGAATTTTTGAGAAAATATAAGTTTTCCGGTTTAAAAAATCAGAAAAAAATTCTGGTTTTTTCAGAATAAAACCAGAATTTTTTCTGAAAATATCAAAAATTTTGTCCTTAAAAATCAGAATTTCTGAAAAATTTTTTTATTAAAAAAAAATTTTTTTAAAGATATCTTTTCGCTTCTTCCGCAACACAATATTTGCTTTTTTAACATTATTAATTATTTATTCTTCCCTTGTGCTCATTTCAATTTATTGTTATCAATTTCCAAGTGTTCCTGAATTTTTGAATAAATTAACTGGATTAAATTTAAAATTGGCTGAAGAAATTGGGTTACAAAAATATGAGGGAGAAGATTTTGGGTAAGTTTGTGGACATTCTGAATTTATTTTTAAATAATCAGAATTTTGGTTTTGTAAAATCAGAATTTATTTATAGAATTATCAGAATTTCTGATTTGAAAAGTCAGAATTTTTTTGAAAAAAAAATCAGAATTTTTGTTCTGAAAAACCAGAATCCTGTTTTAAAAAAATCAGAATTTTCTGAAAAAATTATCTGAATTCTGATTTTATTTCAGAATTTCTGCTTTGAAAAATCAGAATTTATTTCAGAATTTTGTTTTTAATGTCAGAATTTTTGTTTTAAAAATCAGAAATTCTGTTCTAGTAAAATCAGAATTCTTTCAAGAAATCAAAATTCTGTTTTAAAAATCAGAAAAAAATTCTGATTTTTTTCAGAAAATAAATCAGAATTTATTTTCAAAATATATTTTTAAATTCCCTTCAAATTTTCAGAGTTTTATTTTTTCGTTTAATCAAATTAATTTCCTTAATTATCGTTACAATGTTACAATTAAAATTTTTTCATCATGCATGGTCTAAACTTGTAAGAACTCCAAGTGATATTTCACAAGCAGATATTGAAATTATTGCTTGTAGTAGAGAATGAAATTTAATTTTTTATTTTACTTAAAATTTATTTTTTTTGAAAAAAAAAATCAGAAAATTTTTTTGAAAAATCAGAATTATATTCAGAAATATATCAGAAATTATTAGAAAATTTTTTTTTTTGAATTTTATCTAAATTCGAAAAAAAATCAGAATCACAAAATTAGAATTTTACGGAGATTTTTTATTTTGTCAATAAATAAATTAGATATTTCTTAATAAAAATTTTGAAATTATCTGATGATTGTATTTATGTTTACTATGTGAATGTATGTCTATATTTGGCTCTTGTCCAGTTTATGCGTCCCATGAAAGTATATGCGTCCCATCAACAAAAAATTGGATATTTCTTGGTGTTGCAAAGTAGGGGTATGGTTCCAAAGCATTTCTTCATGTTCGGGATCTACGTCCACTGGGTCTGGGACCGTTCCTTACCCTATCCTTCGAAATTTCTGAAAGTTAAAATCGTTTTTCTGAAATTTTTAAAAATTGGCTATAACTTTCAAAAATTTCGAAGGATAGGGTAAGGAACGGTCCCAGACCCAGTGGACGTAGATCCCGAACATGAAGAAATGCTTTGGAACCATACCCCTACTTTGCAACACCAAGAAATATCCAATTTTTTGTTGATGGGACGCATATACTTTCATGGGACGTATAAACTGGACAAGAGCCTATATTTGTACTTTTTTCTTGCTGTATAAAAAATAAAAATATTTTTTTAACTTGAGAAAAAAAATTTTTTTGATTTGCGATTTTATTTTCGCTTTTATATTTTTCTAATTAATTTTTAAATTTTTTTTCAGCTTTTTTTCAGAAAAATAAAAAAAAATGACATCACCAACAACAACAGCAACATCAAGCAATTTTCTCAATAATTTAAAAGATTTTTGTTGGAGATTTTTGGAATTATATTTATTCAAATTTACATTATTTGTGCTTTTATTTATTTGTGTTGAACATTATTGTCTACTAAATTTATTTTGTATAATATTTATTTCAATTGCTTTGTCTTCCTCAACTTTTTGTGTTTCAAAAAGCGTTACGTTTGCACTATGTGCATATATGGCTATATTGTTTGTTGTTAGAAGTGTTTATCAGGTTTGGAAATTTTTTTTTGAAGTAGTGTGCTGGGTTCATTAAATCAGAATTTTTGGTTTCGTAATTTGATTTTCAGAATTTTCCTAATTTTGATATTTTCAGAATTTCTGATTTTTAATTCTAATTTTAAGAATAAAACCAAAATTTTTGATTTACACGAATCAGAACAAAATAAGGAAAACAGACTTTTTGATTTTGTAATTCTGATTTTATAATTAAAATCAGAATTTCTGGTTTATACGTTTCAGAACAAAAATTTAAGGAAACCAGAATTCTGATTTTCGTTTACTATTTATGATTTTTCTTTTATACTTCTGATCTTTTTTGACCAGAATTCTGGTTTTATTTTTAAAATCAGAATTATGAAAACCAGAACTTCTGGTTTTTCTTAACTTGACAGAAATTCTGAAATTTTTGTGAAATCAGAATTTTCGTTTCTCCTTATAATTTTAATATTTATTTTTTTCTTTTTCAGTTTGATTTTATTCCTTCCATAGAAGATTTTCACTGGCCTTGGAATAAAACGTGTAACAGAAATGATACAATTCCATTATTTAATACAACTTCAAAATGGGTAGGGCTAGAAAAACAAAATGATGAATGGGTGGTTAGCGATTATATTGTGAGTTTTTAATTTTCTGAAATTTTGTCCGCAAGTTTATTGCGGACAAAAAATTTTGTCCGCAAAAAACTTGCGGACACAGATCTTTGTCCGCAAATTTTGTTTGCGGACAAACATTTTTGTCCGCAAATTTTTATTTTTTTATTTTCCTAAATATTTTTTTACAAATTAAGGGTTATACATTAATTCTCATCCTTATTGGACTTCAATTTTGTATTAAATATCGTCAACATTTAAATAGAAAATTGCGAAGTTTGGCAGAACCTCCTCCTGGAATTCTTTTTCCGAATGCTCAACCTGCTGATTTTGATAAAAGTTTAACTGATTGTACAAAATTTTTGTTAAATTATGGATTTTATAAATTTGGAATGGAGGTTTGTTTGATATTTTTTTGCTGGTTTGTCCGCAAAAATTTTTGCGGACAAAAAAATTTTGTCCGCAAAATTTTTGCGGATAAAAATATTGTCCGCAAAAATTTTGCGGACAAACTTAAAATTTTTTTAAAGATTTCTCTTGCATCTTTGGGTTTTGCTGCCTGGCTGAGAATGGATTTACTTGGTGCTTTACTTGTTTTATGGTTGCTTGTTTTAATTTCAATTCCTCGAAATGCTCGAAAACGTCTTTGGCCTTTTTTAGTTTTTTATTTGGCTTTTGTTCTGCCTTTGCAATATTTTAGTGCTCTTGGGTTACCTTCAAATTTGTGCATAGGTTTGTTGTTTTCTTTGAAACATTATTTTTTAGGATAGATATTTTTAGGAAATTTGGGTGTGGATTAGTTTTTGAATCCATTGACTTGGGTCAGATCCACGCCTATAGATTACATGAGATAACCCAGGATGCTCAAAAATGTTAGTGCACATAATCGATATCGAAGAAGGTTGTTACTACTTTTCGAATCCTCTGACGTTGGTCAGATCCTGGGCCCGCTGTCCGTGAGAGAAACCCAAGAAATCAAAGTGCTTGTCTAATCCTGTGTTCTCCATTCATTCACAAGCTTCTTCTTGATAAATTATATGCCTGTGGAATTAAGGGGAAAATACATAAGTGGATTAGCGAATTTTTATCGAATAGAACATACCAACTAAAAATTAATGACGTATTATCAAAACCATATGGAATTAGTACGGGAGTTCCACAAGGATCGATTATTGGCCCATTAATGTTTCTAATTTATATAAATGACTTATCTAATGTTATTCCAAACGGCGTTAAAATTAAACTATTTGCTGATGATGTTAAAATTTATAAAGTTTATAAGACTAAAAATGAAAGATTAGAATTAGCAGTTGCCCTTAGAAATGTTGAAGAATGGTCAAAAAAATGGAAATTAGACATATCAGTTAATAAGACATTCGTGCTTCATCTGGGTAAAAACAATCCTAAGGACCAATATAAGATTTTTAACAATACTATAAATGAGGTTCAATCTATTCGCGACCTTGGAATATGTATTGATAACAAGCTTAGGTTTAAAGAACATATTAACATAATTATTCGCAACGCGTATCTAAGGATGAAAACAATCTTTAGAATAATAAAGTCAAAAAAAACAGCAACTTGGATACTAATATATAAAAGTTATATAAGACCTATGCTTGAATATGCACCGGAAACTTGGAACACTCTTTACAAAACGGAAATTAATTCTCTTGAAAAATGCCAAAAATTTTTTACTAAAATAGTTTTTAAGAAATGTAATTTACCTGAACTACCCTATGAGAATAGGTTGGAATATCTTAACCTTCAAACACTTGAGAATAGACGTAAAATTTTTGATTTAATGCTTATGTACAAAATAGTTAATGGTTATTCTCACTTAGGACTTGAAACACTATTTTCTCATCCTATTAGAAAATCTAGCCATTCATCTTATAGAATTATTTCAAAAAAACAAAATTCTAAAAGTTCTAGATCATTTATAAATAGAACAACTAAAATGTGGAATATACTAGGTAAAAATACTATTTTAAGTAAATCACCATTAGATTTTAAAAATAAACTTAAGTCAATACTTATAGTATAAATAAACTGAATGTTCTTAAAAAAATTAATTAAACTCATCCATTCTATCTCAAAAAAATACACAGTCAAAAAAACTTTTATTTTTCGTCTAAATGGGCTTTGCGTCTAAGTGGCAAAATTAAATTACCTTGCGACTAAATGGTCAATTAATTTTTAAATTTTCGCGTCTAAATGGTCAAATTAATTTTTATTTTCGCGCCTAAATATTCAAATTAATTTATTTTATTTTTTGCGCCTAAGTGGGCTTGGCGTCAAAGTGGCCTAATCGATTTATTCCTTATGCTGTTGTTTGTACTTTTTTATACTCTAGCATTTCTTAGTTGTTTGGATTTTTAATTTAAAAAAATTTTTTTTTTTTTATTTTAGACTAAAATAATCTTAAAATTAAATTTACTATTATTTATTTTGCTGTTTTTTCAGGTTTTTTTTTTTATGTTTTATTTAAAATAATACACAGATATACATCTAGGCTAAATAATCTTAAAATTAAATTTACTATTATTTATTTTGCTGTTTTTTCAGACTTGCATGCCTGGTGTTAAACGTAACGCAGTTCACTTCTCACCAGTGCAATTTTACAATTAACTTAGTCGTATATCTGTGTATATCAATATCTCTTCATTATGATTATTTATGTTGACTATTCAGTTAATTTATTATTATTGACCAAATATCATGTATTTTATTAAGACAATGATGTAAGTGTCCATCCCTTTCATTGTCATTTTTATTCTTGAATAAATAAATAAATAAATAAATAAATAAATAAACTGGACAAGAGCCTATATTTGTACTTTTTTCTTGCTGTATAAAAAATAAAAATATTTTTTTAACTTGAGAAAAAAAATTTTTTTGATTTGCGATTTTATTTTCGCTTTTATATTTTTCTAATTAATTTTTAAATTTTTTTTCAGCTTTTTTTCAGAAAAATAAAAAAAAATGACATCACCAACAACAACAGCAACATCAAGCAATTTTCTCAATAATTTAAAAGATTTTTGTTGGAGATTTTTGGAATTATATTTATTCAAATTTACATTATTTGTGCTTTTATTTATTTGTGTTGAACATTATTGTCTACTAAATTTATTTTGTATAATATTTATTTCAATTGCTTTGTCTTCCTCAACTTTTTGTGTTTCAAAAAGCGTTACGTTTGCACTATGTGCATATATGGCTATATTGTTTGTTGTTAGAAGTGTTTATCAGGTTTGGAAATTTTTTTTTGAAGTAGTGTGCTGGGTTCATTAAATCAGAATTTTTGGTTTCGTAATTTGATTTTCAGAATTTTCCTAATTTTGATATTTTCAGAATTTCTGATTTTTAATTCTAATTTTAAGAATAAAACCAAAATTTTTGATTTACACGAATCAGAACAAAATAAGGAAAACAGACTTTTTGATTTTGTAATTCTGATTTTATAATTAAAATCAGAATTTCTGGTTTATACGTTTCAGAACAAAAATTTAAGGAAACCAGAATTCTGATTTTCGTTTACTATTTATGATTTTTCTTTTATACTTCTGATCTTTTTTGACCAGAATTCTGGTTTTATTTTTAAAATCAGAATTATGAAAACCAGAACTTCTGGTTTTTCTTAACTTGACAGAAATTCTGAAATTTTTGTGAAATCAGAATTTTCGTTTCTCCTTATAATTTTAATATTTATTTTTTTCTTTTTCAGTTTGATTTTATTCCTTCCATAGAAGATTTTCACTGGCCTTGGAATAAAACGTGTAACAGAAATGATACAATTCCATTATTTAATACAACTTCAAAATGGGTAGGGCTAGAAAAACAAAATGATGAATGGGTGGTTAGCGATTATATTGTGAGTTTTTAATTTTCTGAAATTTTGTCCGCAAGTTTATTGCGGACAAAAAATTTTGTCCGCAAAAAACTTGCGGACACAGATCTTTGTCCGCAAATTTTGTTTGCGGACAAACATTTTTGTCCGCAAATTTTTATTTTTTTATTTTCCTAAATATTTTTTTACAAATTAAGGGTTATACATTAATTCTCATCCTTATTGGACTTCAATTTTGTATTAAATATCGTCAACATTTAAATAGAAAATTGCGAAGTTTGGCAGAACCTCCTCCTGGAATTCTTTTTCCGAATGCTCAACCTGCTGATTTTGATAAAAGTTTAACTGATTGTACAAAATTTTTGTTAAATTATGGATTTTATAAATTTGGAATGGAGGTTTGTTTGATATTTTTTTGCTGGTTTGTCCGCAAAAAATTTTGCGGACGAAAAATTTTTGTCCGCAAATTTTTTGCGGACAAACTTAAAAATTTTTTTTCAAGATTTCTCTTGCATCTTTGGGGTTTGCTGCCTGGTTGAGAATGGATTTACTTGGTGCTTTACTTGTTTTATGGTTGCTTGTTTTAATTTCAATTCCTCGAAATGCTCGAAAACGTCTTTGGCCTTTTTTAGTTTTCTATTTGGCTTTTGTTCTGCCTTTGCAATATTTTAGTGCTCTTGGTTTACCTTCAAATTTGTGCATAGGTTTGTTTTTAGATAACATAATATTTTTAAATTTATATGGATAGATATTTTTAGGAAATTAGGGTCTTATTATGTTTCCGAAATTTATTGACCTGGGTTAGATCCGCGGCCTTTAGATCATGAAATAACAGGGACTCAAAGAATGTTTTGGAAAATAATCGGTACTGAAGAAGTTTGTTACTACTTTTCGAATCCTCTGACGTTGGTCAGATCCTGTGCTTTGGTCAGACTTTGGTCAGTTCCATGAGAGTAACCCAGGAAGTTAAAAAGGTGCTTGTTCAATCATTGGTTTTTCATTCCTTATGAGAAAGATTAAAAATGGTGCTTGGGTCTGGATTCGTAAAGTCTTTCAAAAAAATTCTTTTTTCTTCTTCAGATTATCCATGGGATTATTGGCAGCCTCTTTTTAACATTTTTCATTCGATTGGTAAAAGTTGGCAACTTTTGAATAACAATTTGTCCTTATTCTTGTGTCTACCAAATTATAGAATGTCTCCAGACCGCTTTTCTGATAACCTCAAAATTGATTTTATTCTGCTAGCAATTGTATCAGCACAAAATAGAATGTTTAAACAAGAAAGTGAAGAACATCCTGCGGGGTCTAATGATTCTATTTATGTTTGTAATAAATACCAATTGTTAAAAGAAAATCCTCATTATGATTTTGTGATTGAACAAAGGTTTTTTTTAATTTTTTAAATTTTATTAATAGGATTATAAGGGGTTTTAATATTGTTTAAACAATTTCTTCCACCTTTTTCCTTTCACTCCACGTCCTCCGCGTTCTTTCTCCTGGCAACTCCATCCAACAACTCCTTCAAATCTCTTCCCTCTTCTTCCCCTTTCCTCTTGGGCCGTTGTCTTTGAGAGACTCCTCCTCCTTTGAGAGACTGTCTCCTCCTCACACCAACTCTCCAACCTTCCTCCGTTCGTTCCTTCACCTCCAAATTCCTCCCTTTTTCCATAACAGGGGTGTGCCAGTTTTACTTTTCGCGACTTTTCGCTTTTTCCCTTTTTAAAAAATCTTTCTGACATACCCTTGTTTCAATAAGAACTCCTCCACCTCCTCCCTCTTCTCACCTCCGCCACGATGACCGACCGATTTTGGGGTGTTAGTGAGGATTAAATGTAATCCAATTTTATTTTTAAAGATTTATTTTTCTTAAAATTTATTTTTATTTTTTATAGAAGCTTTGTTGATTTTATTAAATACATAATTTTCATGTATGGACATTGGATTACTATGGTTTATAATTTTTTTAATCAAGGCCATTTTGTTAATTTATTCAGATTATGACTTTATGTGCTGGTCTAGGTGGAACTTCACTTTTTGCCTTAGGCTATGTAATCCTCGCTTTTTGGATGCTTTGGGAAGGAAATAATTTATATACAATGCATCGGTATACAAAAACTTTGGCTCGTTGGAATACTCTGGCAAAATATACAGTTGTTATTATGCTATGTAAAATATTTCTACAGGTTTTTTTGAATTTTTTTGTGGTAATCTTGAACCTCTCTTTACATTTTCCTCCAATTCTCTCCCCTGTATTCCTTTTGATAACTAAAATTTGGTAACTTATTTTACGTCTGCTTAAAAAGATTAGATTTACCGTAAATACTCTAATAGAGGCCCACCTTTAATATAAGCCCATCTGGGGATACCCATTGAAAAATATAAGCCCAGGGCTTCAATTAGAGTATTTACGGTATTGTGGCACGTTCCCAAGGATCAGAGTTAGATGAAAATGTAGTAGGTAGATTGGAAATTGGATTTTTGGACGGCCTCTGATAGGGTTGAAATAATATTTGTAAGCGAGGAATTGGGGGCAAAGTTTAGGTAAGTGTCATCCAAAGATTCAAGAATTGGATTTTTTGCATACAAATATTCAAAAATAGTTCTTGAAGAATCTTTGGGTTTCCGTAATTGAAAACGAGTTGATGAGTTGGTCCTCGACGTGGATGGGGCCACGGTGAACAATTTTCGGGGAGTCTGCGACACGGGAGGGGGCGGGGAAAAATTTTTTCTTGCGCCACGGGAGGAGGGGGGCGCAAGAAAAAAATTACTCGACTTTCGGGGACAGGGACCACAACCCTATTCCGGAACCAAAAAAAATCATTTCGATTCTTCGGTTTGGTTCTGAAACGGCAATCTTATTCAAGAATTTTTTAAAATCATTTTTCTTTTTATTTTTAAAGTTAGTTGGTTGTGTTTTTATTGGTTTAATTCGTCCAAAACAACTATGTCCAGTTCAACAATTATTTTCAATTTTTTGTGTTAATCCACTTTCAATTGGAGAACTTCAAAAATTCTTTAGTGAATTACCTAGCGACGATACAGAATTTAGTGATTTACAAAGTTGTTCAAAAGGTGGAGATTCTTCTGAAGCTAGTATTGGTTTCGATGCTGTAGCGTTTCTATTTATTATTTTTCAACTGAGAATTTTGCATTCCTGGTATTTCCAAAGATGTATGATCGAATTTAGATGTGAGGTTATTCAGGCTAATAGGTTTGTTTTTGGGGAAATTTTTTAAATTTGGGGGGGGGGGGGAGAGGAGGAAGAATGTTTCTTTTTTTGACGCAATATGTGTTTAAGGGTACCTCGGATGGGTCAGATTACCGGAGAAACTTGTCCCAACTTTTTTTTCTTAACCCAAGCCCTTCGTACTTCACTAATTTTTTTTCTTGAATTATTTCATAGGATTGTTGTCCTATCAAATCCCCCCTTTGTTGTACCTCTCGTTTTTGTTTTTATTGAATTTTTATAAATAAATAATAAAGTGATTTTTTCAGAGGGGCTGTTTTAATCAATCAATTAATTGAAAAAGAGATGCGGGAACAAACGGAGCATCAGAACAAGAAACTTCGAGAAATTAAGGCACGAACAGCGGCCATCAGAAAACGTTATGAAGAACAACAGAGGCGTAGCAGTGGATATGGCGCTGTTGTCTTTTCTCCACAAACATATGGGCAAGGTTGGCGTTTTGGGGGGTTTTTTTTAGTTTATTTTTAGATTGAGACTCTAAAGGTTTATTTTCGATAAGTTTCCGGAATTGTTTTACTTAAGTGAGTGTATTCCGGAATTATACATATGAAATACATTCTATTTTAAATATTTTCCGGAAAATTGTCTATTTAAATTTTGTGTGTTTTCCGGAATTTTGTGTTTTTAATTATTTTAAGTTCTACCTTTCCGGAAAAATACAAATTTTACGGAGATATTTCCGGAATATATTCTCACACTTTCCGGAAATTATATTTTCCGGAACTAAATATATGCATATTTAACTTCTATTTTCATATGTATATTTCCGTAAATGTTTTCCGGAAATTAATGGTGGTATTTTTAAGTTTTATTTGTGTATGAAATAAGCGCCATTTATCCTTATCTCATTTATTTTTCTATTTTTAATTGTTTTTTCTCTCTCAAAAAAATTCTTTTTCGTTCTCGTAATTTTTATTTTTTTTCTGTCTGTTTGGGATTTTATAAGTTGCTGTTTTTTTTTTGGATATTTTATTTTTACTTACATTTTTTAAAAATCTTTTATTTTGCTTTTAATTAAAACTCTCAAGTAGTTCGTCCTCGCTCAATAATTGATATTGATGATCCTTTACCAAGTTATGATCCTCGATATGCTCCGCCACCGTCAGCTTCTATTATGGGTTTGTTTTTGTTTTTTTTTTCGAAATTGTTGCTTTTGTTTTCCTTGTGTTTTGCTTTTTTTATTTCCTGCTTTTTTTGTGTTTTTGCTTTTATCCAGTGTTTTTGCTTGTTATTTTAACAATTGATTTGTTTCCGGAAAACTACTATTTTATTATTAAATTTTGTTATGTATTTTTCTTTTTTTCTTAAATCTTTTGTGTTTTCTTTCCGGAATGAAATACATATATAATTCTGGTTTTTACATAAATCAGAATTTTTTGTATTTTCTTTGAATCTATCTAATTCTGATTTTCCTTTATTCTGATTTTAATTTTTCTTTTATGGGTTGGGTTGAAACACACAATTTTCAGAATAATTCTGTTTCTTTTTAATCTTGTATTTTTAACATTGTGTTTTCTTTCCGGAAATTTTATTTTGTGTTTTTGCTTGTTTATACTGGTTTCCGGAATTAATTTACTTTTTTCCGGAAAACTTTTACTATTAATTTTCCGGAACTTTATGTATTTTCTTTTTCTCTAAAACACATTGTGTTTTCTTTCCGGAAAAATACAAAATTCTGGTTTTAACCAGAATTTTGTATTTTCTGGAAAAATACAAAAATACAAATCTGGAAAATACAAAATTCTGGTTTTAATCAGAATTTTGTATTTTCTGGAAAAATACAAAAATACAAATCTGGAAAATACAAAATTCTGATTTTAACCAGAATTTTGTATTTTTCCTTTTTATCTAAATTCTGATTTTTCCTCTTTATTTTAAGTTAAAACACAATTTCCAGAATAAAAATTCTGATTTATTTTTAACTTTGTGTTTTCTTTGTGTTTTCTTTCCAGAATTTATTTTGTGTTTTTTTGTGTTTTGTTTTTATTCTTGTATTTTTAAGTTATTTATTTTGTTCAATGCGCGCATTCTTCCTTTATTTTCTTTTTCCAATATTTTTTTTATTTTAATTTTTTAATCACTTTTTCCTTTTTAAAATTACTAATTTAATTCTATACTTTAATTTTTCCCTTAAGCTTCAAAAATTTTTTTTAACTTTTTATTAAAATTTTTTTTATTTTTAGCAAAACGTGCTGGCGATTATTATATGTTTGAAGGCGATCCGGAAATTGATGACTTAATCGAGCCTGTAATATCTTTTGTTCCAGAAGTAACACCGGGAGCTGGAGATTTTGATAAATTGGATCCTGCTCAAGTAAATTTTTTTAAAGGAATTTTGAGAAGAGAAATAATTTTTTTCCTCAGTTATTACACACAGCACTTGGAAAAGATTTGGATTTAATCAAAACATTAGATTCTGTTGAAGAAGCAGAACAAATTAAAGATGAAAAATTGAGAATGATTGCTGCTGTTGCTCCGTCAGAAAAAGCTAGAGAAATTGCAAAATTGGCACTTAAACTTAGACATCAATCTCCTCAGAAACCGGAAACAACTGTTCATCATATGGATGAGGGTGATTATTATTCTATTGGTGGTCCTTCTACTTCACAAGGTTTTTATTTTTTTTTTAAATGTGGGTTTATTTGTGGGGGTATATTAAAGCAAAATATATACTTTGGGCCATCCACTCTTTAAATCATCCTTCCTGAAATAAAAGCATTGAGGGACTTTTAGGGATATTTTTTATTGAGTTTATATGTAGAAAATTAATTTGTTAAGGAAATGCCACACAATTTGATTAACGGGAATATGAGTAATCTTTCTTCCCAGCCAAAAGGAGCGATTTTTTATTTTACTTAAAAGATATGGTCCGAGGAAGGGTGTCAGAAAAATAATTTTTAAATTTTTTATTTAGCAGAAAAATCAGAAAAAGATGAGGAGACCGATACAACAGATGGAATACCAATAATTCGTTTCCGCAAAAAAAGACAACAACAACAACCTGAAGATGTTATTGAAAAAGAATCAACACAAAAAGAAAGTGAAGAACAACAAACAACAAAAATTGATGCTTATAGTTATGGTTTGTGAAAAAAAATTTTTTTTTGAATTTCTACTTAGGGTTGTTGGCGACCGGTTTTAAAACCGAAAATTTGTGAAAATTCTTTTTGCCAAAAATTAACCGTTTTTAGAAACCTTTAAAAACTGAAAATTTGTGAAAATGAGTGTGATTTTATTTTAAATTTCCCCAAAAAACCGGTATTTGTCTAAAACTCGAAACCGAAAACCGGCTTTCTAAAGTTTAAATGGGTACACCCTGTTATACCGCGAGCCCAGTATATCAAAATTATCGAATTCGGGAGGCTTTGGTATGGTTCGATACAGCTAGTGAGGCGCATCGAACCATACCAGGGCGCCACGGATTCGACAAATCTGAACCAAGTTATAGCTCGGCGCAGGCCCGTAACTAGGATTTTTTTTCGGGGGGGGGGGGAAATTTTATTGCGCCAAATTTTTGGCGCCGAAGGCGCCAAAAATCTACAAACTTCATCCATAACCGACAAAATCCAACCAAATTTTTATCAACTCGAGTTAACAAGCAAGTTGATAAACGACGAGTTAGAGAATTTTGTGGGGCAGATTTGGCGAGGGAAAGCTTGCGCTAAAAGATTTTTTGATAAAATTTTGAAATAAAATAATACAAGTAATTGGTCACGATTCGAGTCATTTCCACCAAATTCAAAAACATTCCCCTCCTCCATAATAAATTTGAGACAATCTGACAAGCCTTCCTGAAACATTTAAGTTTAAAAAATTAAAAAAATATAGCAAACATGACTAAAATCGTCGTCACCAAAAATGTCCAATTTTGGGACAAGTTCAAAATTCACAGCAGGTTTGTCGATTAAAGGACCCAAGGCACTAGCTGCCATAGATTTTGTTTCTGTATTTGATTGAGGTATTAAAGATTTGACTGTTTGGGTTGAATATTCTTCTTCCTTGTGTTCTAATAATCTCGTAAGGGTGTAAGCTAAAAAATAATAAAGTCCATGAGTAAAGAAATTTCAAAAACAAACAAAATTCGTAGCTAAATTCGTCATCAAAATCAAAAGAAATTTTCCAAAATTTGGCATTTTCTACATCAAAATCGTCCGTTGAACCATCAATAAAAGAATTTTGAATAAACACCGCACTAAGACAAAATCCTTTGATTAAAGAAGGATCAATACGTTGAAGAGTAAATTTGTGAGGACAATTTGTCCCAGCATCCATGGATAGACCTTTATGGAAATTGTCGACATTGCTTGATAAATCATTTTTAAAATCATATTGCAAGGCAATCTAGAAAATATTTAGAAGGTTACATATTTAAATAAGCAAAAATACTTTAATTTCATCATCAACACAAAGAGGCAGGCCCGTAACTAGGATTTTTTTTCGGGGGGGGGGGGGGGGGGGGGGGGGGAAATTTTATTGCGCCAAATTTTTGGCGCCGAAGGCGCCAAAAATTTTTATTTTTAGCGCCGCAGGCGAAAATTTTTTTAATTTTAGAAGGCCGTAGGCCAAAAAATTCACTTTTTCGGCGCCGCAGGCGCCAAAAATTTGATTTTCAGCGCCGCAGGCGAAAATTTTTTGAATTTTGGACCTCAAGAAGCCAGATTTCGTCCTTTTTTAGCGCCGCAGGCGAAAATTTTGAAAATTTCGAAGGCCGTAGGCCAAAAAAATTCACTTTTTTGCCCCAGCCCTTCCCCAAATTTTTTCCTTTTTCCCATTTCGGGGGGGGGAATTCCCCCCCTCACCCCCCCCCCTGGTTACGGGCCTGGCTCGGCGGTATTCTGGGCTCGGCGGTATACTGGCCTGCTCCCAGTTTAAATTAACCGAAAACCGGGGATGACGGTTAACTACCGGTCGCCAACAATTTCTTTAATTTTTTACGAATTTTTTTTTAAATTTTTTCAGCAAAAGCAATAATTTCCTTTTTTCAATTTTTGTGGAAAATTATGATTGCATTTCTTGATTGGATATCAGCATTTTTAAATAGACGTTCAAGGGAACATAGATATGTTGCTTATGTTTTAAATAAAGAAAAGGAACATTTGAAGGAAATGATGAGCAATGTATGGAGTTTTTAAGGGGTTTTTTTAATTAAAAAAAATTTTTTTGAAGGAACTTTATGATGGTCAAATTTCTAGTTCTGATTTGAGGGAACGTTGGGAATCTCATAATATGCATATTGTATCTAGTGAAGAGGATATTAAAAGGTATATTTTTTTATATATTTATGAGATAATTTTAAATTTTTTTGATTATCTCCCGATACGGAACAACACTTTCTCTTGGACGTCCCTACAACCGAAAGAAGTTTTTTGGATTAAAATTTTTTCCTAGACCCCTCCTGACTCGGAACCAGGGACGTCATGTGAGGATAAATATGTAGTTGGGTCGGGGTTTTTAAAATTTTCCCTGGACTTTGAACCCCTATAACTTTTCGAAAGGGGGGTCAGGGCCAAATAAGAAAAAATTGACAATAGGTTATTGACCCTGTTCTACACGTTGGTGCAAAGAAAAATACAAAATTTTCACATACAGTTCGTGAGAGCTCCTTGTAAAAAATAGACCCATTGTCAGAAAAACGACCCAGCCCACGATCTAGCCCTTTTCAAGATTTTGAGTTAGTTGTCATGGAAAATATTTTCAGTCTCAAGTCAGGCTCTAATCTTATTGAATACAGCTTGAAAACTAAAAACAATTTTTTCCAGATTAGAAAACGAAGCCCATGATCGTTGGGCCGAAAGAAATGTTTTTGCCCGATTTATAAATGCTGTAGGAAATTGTATATGTGCACATACAGATGTAATATGTTATGCTTTTGCTGTTTTTGTACATGGAAAAACTGCTGGATTATTAACTTTACCTTTGCCAGCATTAGTTTTCTTTTGGGGAACTTTGGCAAATCCTCGCCCTTCAAAATTTTTTTGGGTTACAATGATTATTTGGACAGAATTGGTTATTGTTGTTAAATTTGCTTTTCAATTTGGATTTTGGGATTGGAATTCTATTGCTGAAGAAGCTAAAAATTCACATAAAATATATAAATTACAATATATTTTTGGTGTACAAAGAGTTGAATATTTTGCTGTAACTGATGTGGCTTTGTTAATTGCGTTGTTTTTTCATAGGTTTTTGATTTTTTTTAAATTTTTTCCTTGGGGGGAGTTTTTTGAGTTTTAGTCTTGGCCTTGCTAAAGCATGAGAATTACCTAACTTTTTTGGAGGTTTCCAAATATAATTTTTTCTAAGGTCCTGGGGGTTTTAAATAATTTTTCTCGGGTCTTAAGTTTATTTGGATCATTGCAGTTTTATTTAGGTTTACATATTTTCTCAGGTTTATTATAAACCATCGAAAAGAAGCTGAAAAGTTTGGAGCTGAAACCACAAAAACGCCCCACTTGTTCCTTAAAAAATGCCCTACTGGTTCCTAGGTTTATTTTTAGAGAATTAACCTGGGTGTGTGTTGTTCCATGTGTGGTGTTAACGGAGGAATAATATGGGGTTTGTACAAAATTCAGTTTCCCTTTCAGCCCCTGGATACTCTTAAGAGGTGTCGGGTTATTTTCCTTTTCTGTTTTCAAAAATCTGCAACTTTTCTGTTCGTAATTTTCTCAAAAAAATAAAATTATTTAACTTGTCAGATATATGCTTCGAAAACTTGGATTATGGAGGGATGCCAATTCGGACCGACTTCTCGCATATACTCCCCAAATATTAAATAATAATGACAACAAGAATAATTTATCTTCAACATCCTCTTCAAATGAACAAAGTCCAAATAAAAAGAAAGGAAGAACACAAAATGGTTCTACAGCAACAGAAACTTCAGCAATCACAACAACTTCAATTTCTGATGATCAAATTAATTTAGAAGAAGTTGGTATTTTTAATTTTTTTAAATAAAAAGATTTTTTTTAATTTTTTAAATGAGTATTCTATGTAAATTTGTTTTTGTTGTTCTCAAGGGAAAGAGTGAGAACCTTGAAAAAATTTTTTTTTGGAAAAATTAGAAAAATATATGTAGTGCAAGGGGCTTCTTTCGTTTCATGAAAATTCGAATATGGATTTGTATTTTTCGTTTATTGATCCCTAAATAACTCGGTTTCTTGGCTAACAATAAGGGGAGGAAATTTTCATCTAATTTCTGAAAAAAAATAATAGTAGAAAAAAAAATTTTTTTTTTCACCGACAAAAGGCTACTCCATCAGTTTTAAAAGACTCCGAAAAAAGATTTAACCTAAAAAAAATTTTTTTTTAAAGATTGATATTGAAAGCGGACAGAAACCTACAGCAACAACTACTACACCAGCAGCAGAACCTGTTTTGGCAGAAAATTCGGTTAATTTAGAAAAAAAATTTTTTTTTCGCAATTTTTTAATTATTCTAATTTAATAGAAGCCACCCTCTCCTCCATCAAAAATTGTACATTTAAGCGTTATTGGAAATTTTATTGAAAAGGTTTTTTTAATTTAAAATAAATTTAATTTATTTTTAAAGTTAATTTATCCAAAATTTCGTTATATTTGTGATTTTTATCCATTAATGTTCTTTTTGGATATTTTTTGTATGCTTATAATTGCTTTTGGTTATTCTTCTTTTGGTGAAGGAGGAACTGGGGATGTTGTTAGTGATATTAAGGTTTTCTTTTTGAAAAATATTTTGGAAATTTTTTGGGGAATTTCTGGATTTATGGAATTTTTTTTTGGAATTTTTTGTGTTTTGAAAAGTTGACATTTTGATATTAAATAATTTTCTCTATAATCCCTATCAATTTTAGAGGTCGGTAAGTTCACATTTGCAGGATCCTGTATCAGGATTGGGTTTTAAAATTTTGTACAGGACCGGATCCTGAAGGATTAATCGTGACAATCCTAAAACTCAAAAAAAGGCAGGATTTCATGATTTCGGACAGGATCCTGAAAAATCCTGTGCAGGATCCTGTCCTGCACTGACTTCTAATCAATTTCCCCTTCTTTTTTCTTTTCATTTTTTGAAAATTTTATTTTGAGGGGTAGGGCTGTCCACAATTACACAGTCCGCAAAATTAATTTTTAAATTCCGCAAAAATGTTGCGGACAGCCCGAGCGAAAAAAATTTTTTTCTCATTTCTTGTTAATAGTAAATCCTTTCCTTCAAAATATTATTTTTCTAAATTTAAAATTCTAATTAATTTCATTTTTTTAGAGTAATAGAATACCAATAACACTTGTAGTTATAATTCTTGTCCAATCTTTGATGATTGTTTTGGATAGAGGCCTATATTTAAGGAAAGCTGTTGTTGCTAAATTGATATATCATTTGCTTACTTTAATTATTGTGCATGTTTGGATATTTTTTATTTTACCTTTATTTACACAAAAGTTTGTTTAATTTTTAAGTATTTTTTCTGATGGTTTTTAAAAATCCGCAAAATTTTGTCTGCAAAAAATTTGTCCGCAAATTTTTTAAATTTTGTTTTTTACTTTCAACCGACATTGACTGGTCTTTTGGAACTCCTAATTATAATTTATTGACCAAATAATTATAATTTATTACCAAATTTGCGGACTTTTTTTGAGTCCGCAAATTTTTGTCCGCATTTTTTTAATTTTGTTTTTTTACTTTGAACCAACATTGACTGGGCTTGGAACTACCCCTTATTAAAATTATGTAGCCAAACCCTTCTCTTATATTACTCGTTTTTTGTGGTAGGAATATAATAATTTGCGGACAAAACTTGCGGACATTTTTTAGATCCGCAAATTTTTAAAATATAAAATTTTTTTCTAGGGAAGCATATACAAATGGAGTAGCAAGATTTTTATATTATATCAAATGCATTTACTTTTTAATTTCTGCCTGGCAAATAAGAAATGGTTATCCTTCTCTTTGTATTGGAAACTTGCTTACACACTCTTATGGGTTAATTAATATGGTTTTGTTTAAAATGTTTGTTTTCTTTTTAAAATTTTTTTTAAATTTTTTATTTTGGGGTCATTGGCTAGATATTCTGAATTTTTTTGAATTTTGAAATAAGAATTTAGAGGTATTTGAATGTTTTTCAAATTTTGACCGTTTTGAGCCTTTTAGGTTACCAAAAATTAATTTTTTTAAATTACCTTGTTCCTGACAAAATTCTGGATTTTTTTTTTAAATTTTAAATCAATAAAAAAATAGAATATTTGTTTTTAAAATTTTTGACCGTTTTGAGTCTTTTTCTAAGTTACCAAAAAATTTTTTTTTAATTTTCAGATTTATGATTATTCCATTTGTTTTTGAACTTCGTACAGCTATTGATTGGGTTTCTTTTTTTATAAGAATTTTTTTTTAATTTTCATTTATAGACATGGACAGATACCTCAATGCCTATTTTTGACTTTTTTAATATGGAAAATTTTTATGCTGTTGTTTACAATTTAAAATGTGCTCGTAAATTTGAAGAAGCATTTCCTGCACCTCGAGGAGAACCTAAAGGGACTGTCATTAAGGTTTTTTATTTTTTTTATTTTTGTGGAGATTTTTGGTCACTTTTGGACTTCCTTGCCATTTTTTTGAATTTTCGGGAGATTTTTGAACTCTCAAACCATTCTTATTTAAATTTCTCAAATTTTTAGGAAGGTTTTTGTGTATTTTGGATCTTTTTTAGCCTTTCTAATTTTTTTTTCTTATTTTTTGGGAGGGTTTTCGGACATTTTGGGCATTTTTCATTTTTTATAAGAAATTTTTTTTAATTTTCTGGATGGTTTTTTGGATGTTTTTATTTTTTTAATAAATTTTTTCTTTTAATTTTTCAGTATTTAATGGGCTTACCATTAATTTTAATAATGATTTTACTTGTTTGGTCACCAATTATTGCGTTTGCATTAATCAACACAATTGGGAATATTTCTCCTCCAGAGAGTGCAATAATGACTGTCAGCCTTGAAGGATTTCCTGTAAAAAATTTTTTTATTTTTTCTTTAATTTTTAAAAATTTTTTTGAAAATTACAAAAAAATTTTTATTCAAAAAAATTCAAAAAAAAATTTTCCAAAATTTTCTAGCCACTTTATAAAATGGAAGCAAAAGGTTTAGGATTAATGGCAATAACACAGCAAGAATATAATATATTAATTAGTAATTTTTCTGATATAAATGGAAGAGAATCAGAATTAAATACTGATGTTGTTGATAGAACAAGAAAAGCATCTGCTTATATTACACAATATACAGCTAAAGATATTCTGGTAAATATTTTGTATTTTGTGTGTTTTTAACGAAAATACAAGAAAATTCTGATTTTTGTATTTTTTGTGTTTTTTCTTTTCTGATTTTTATACAAATCAGAATTTTTGTGTTTCATTTTTGTTTAAAAATTCTGATTTAAATATAAAAAATAACACATGAAAAATACAAATCAGAATTTTAAAATCAGAATTTATTTTAAGATGAAATACAGAAATTCTGTTTTTGTATTTTTTGTGTTTTTCGTTCTTTATACAAATCAGAATTATTTTTTCAATTTTCTAGAAAGTCAAATTCCGTCCAGAATCAGAAACTTTTTGGCAAATTTCACCAGTCTCTTTAATTGCCTTTCGTGACTTTTTACAAAACAACAATACTGGAAATTTAGAATTATCTTTTAATTTTGAATTTAAAAGACCACAAGAAGGAAAGAAAGAACCACAAATTCATAGTTTTACACAAAAGGCAAAAATACATGGAAGGGAATTGTTGGATGCTATTGATAATCGTTCACATTGGGTAACAGAAAATTGAAAAAAATTAAATTAAAAAAATTTTTTTGTAGTTTCAAGTTTTAAATGCTCTACCAACATATTTAGTAATTCCTAGTGAGGGTGAAGTTCAAATTGCAAAATTATTACAACGAGCTGCTGAACGTAGAATTAATTCTGATTCACCTTCAAATATTACAAGAACATTTAATCATTGGAAAATGAGGCTGGTTGAGACTCCGGTAATTTCAAATATAATTTTTTTGGAATTTTTTCTTTAAAAAATTTTTTTCCTCAAAGACTTCCAACTCAACTTACTGGCTAAGTCAAATGGAATTTAATGAAAATATTACAAAACTTACAGCAATACCTTCCCCAGAATTAATTGAATATGGATCGAGAGATTTAAATTATACTGAATTCTTGGCTTTAGTTGATAGAGTTTTTCCTTCTTGGTTAAATAGTTATGTGCAGGGAGGGTAAATAATTTACTTAATTTATTTATTCTGATTTTTATAAAAAGAATACATTTTTTCAGAATTTTAATTCTGAAAAATATATGCAATAAATAGTATTTTTGTATTTTCCGGAAAATACATATTTCTTTTCGGAATTTTTTAAAATTCTGATTAGAAAATACATGTGTTTTAACTTAGTAAAACCAGAATTTTATAATTCCGGAAAATACATATGTATATACTTCCGGAAATATACTTTTGTATTTTTCCGGAAGACTTTTGTATTTTCCCTGTATTTTTCCGGAAGACTTATGTATTTTTCCAAGTTTTTAAAAATCAGAATTATAATAAATGTGTTTCCTTATAAAACCAGAATTTTTAATTTTAAAAATCAGAATTATTTATTTTTCTTTTTAAGTATTATTTTAATGTATGCCGGTATTGTTCTCTTTGTTGGCCGTTTAATTCGCGGATTTGTTTCTTCACAACCTTTGGATGTAATTATCAATGAAATTCCAAATCCTGATCATTTATTAAAAATTTGTCTCGATATTTATTTGGTCAGGGAAGCTAGGGATTTTGTTTTGGAGCAGGTAAATTATTTTTTTAATTTTGAAATTTCGTGTTTCGAGAAACCGAGTTTCGAAAAAAATTTTTTGGTAAGAAAAAAATTTTCTGAAAAATTTTTTTTTGAAATTTTTAGGACCTCAAAAAATTTTTTTGAAAATTTTTTTGAAAAATTTTTTTTAATTTTTCTTACCTCAAAAAAAATTTTTTTAATTAAAATTTGTTTTTATTTTTAAACAGGATTTATTTGCAAAATTAATTTTCTTGTTCCGGTCACCTCAAACTTTGATTAGATGGACAAGATACAAAACAAAACCCGAGTGACACAATTTATTTTAAATACATTTTAGTATTTAATATTTTATAAATTTTTATTCTCCCATAATTTTTGGTTTGTGAATTTTTTTGACTTTCTTTTTTTTTATTTAATTTTTTTCTGGTATTTTCTGATTTTTAAAAAAATTTTTTTTGAATTTTTAAAAATATTTTTTAAAAATTCAAAAATATTTTTTAAAAAAAGATCTTTCACTTCAATTTTTAAAATTATTCTTCTTCTTTTTTTTACTCCCGCTAGCTAAAAATGTGTATCTTTTTTTAAATTTTAGTTTCTACCAACCTATTGAAAAAATTTTTTTCTCTCTTTTCTAGACTCTTTTCCCTTGCCAAATTATAAAAAAATAATTTTATTAAATTTAAATATATCTAGAGATTAATTTTTTTTATTGTTAATATGTAGGCCAAAGCCTTTTTAAATTAATCTCTAGTTATATATAAATTTTAGAGACATCGAGATTATATATTACATACCTTCATTTTTTTATTTTTTTCTGTAGAATAAAAAATGTCTTAGATTTTATTATAAAAAATAATTTTTTGACTTAGAAATGTGTTTTTTATTCACTTTTATTTATTTTTTTAATTTTAAAATTTAATTTTTTCCTTTAATTTTTAAAAGAAATATCAAAAATGTCAACAAGTGGAAGGTTGGGATTTGGAGATATTGGTAATTTTTTATTTTGTTTAGAAAAATTTTTTGTACAATTTTTAAGTGCCAAAAAGTGCTCTAGTTCAGGAGTGGGATGTTGCGCGTAATGAGGTGATATATATAGGAGGTTTTGTATTTTCAGTAAAAAAATACAAGTTCTGAAAGAAATGTATTTTACTATAAACAGGTGTATTTTATGTTTCCGGAAACACATTTTTTACGAAAAATACATTTCCGTAAACTTGTATTTTAATGAATGACACACTTCCGGAAAATACTGCAAAAACACAAAAATATAAATTGTATTTTCCGGAATGTATTTTCCTAATAATTATACTTTTCCGGAATAGTTGTATTTTGTAAATTAAATATAACTCTAATCCGGAAAGTATTTTGTCAAAAAAATACATTTCCGGAAACTTGTATTTTAATGAACATACACACTTCCGGAAAAATGTATTTTCAATAGAATACAAAAAATTGTATTTTCCGGAATGTATTTTCTAATAATTATATTTTTCCGGAATTGTTGTATTTTGTATTCCGGAAACTTGTATTTTAATGAACATAGACACTTCCGGAAAATTATATTTAAAAAAATACAATTTGTGTTTTCCGGAATGTATTTTCCTAATATATTTCTTTTCCGGAATTGTTGTATTTTGTGAATATAACTGTCTAATAACTGTCTAATATAACTGTCTAATCCGGAAAGTATTTTCTCTAAAAAATACATTTACACCTTTAACATTTTTCCGGAAAACATTTTTCCTTGTAGTCTATTTCTCAATTTATTATTGTCTTTTAGTGTCTTAAACTTTTTTTATTTTCAAGTATTTGGATGAAGGCTATTATTGTGAAATTCGGAAAAATTGGGAAGGAAAGAAATTTAATGATGAGCATGGACCTATAAAAATTTCAATGAAATGGCATTTTGAGAGAATGATGGGAAAGCCTCACAAACGTGTAATTCGAGTAAAAATCGTTGCGCCCTTTATTGATGATCCAGAGCCGCCTAGTGAAATGGCTGGAATTTGTCCTGATCTTTGGAATTATGAATGTGTGGAATTGTTTTTTGCTAATAACAAGGGACATTACACGGAGGTAGTTTTTGAAGAAAATTCAAAAAATTTTTGGAGAAAGAGAGAGGAGAGAGAGTAGGAGACGTTTCAGAGTCCAGTTTTGAGGCCTTATTTTAGGCCATAACTTTTTCAATTCTTATCCGATCTGAATAATTCTTGTATTAATTGAAAGCTCTGAATGTGTTGATTATTTTATCTAACAAAATTTATCTTCTCGGATCATTCTACAAAAAGTTACAAACGGATAAGTGCGCGCAATCGTGATTTTCTGTCTTTATTCAACTATGACTTTTTGTAGGATTATCTGATCAACCCACCCTTGTTAAATAAAATAATCTTCACATCCAGAGCTTTCGATTGGTATTAAAATTATTTAAATTGGTTAAGATTGAAAAAAGTTGTGGCCCAAAATATGGCCTCTCAACGAGACTCAGATGTACTTTTTTAAAATTTTTATAAAAATTTTTAAAGGTTGAAGTTGGCCCCCATGGTCATTGGCTTGTTTTACTACACAAAGGATATAGAGAATGTATAAATAATGGGCAGGATTTACAATTAGAAATTGAAAATGAATGGAAAGGTTCTGAATGGCATTGTATGGTGGAAATACCTTTAGCTTATTTGCCTGGAAGTAAGAGAAGAAAAAAATTTTTAATCAGAAAATTTCATTATTAAATACCCTCGAAAATTAAATAAATACCTCCAATAACTTAAATACCCTCCAAAGTTTGTGGTTGTCCCTCATGGTCTTTAGCCTGTTTTACTATCCCCCCTCTCCTCCATTTAAAACACCCTCATATAAGCTACGACTTAGTTTCAGTCCCAAGGGGGTATCTAAAAACGAATTTGTCTTGATTTTTTAATTATAAATCATCTTCCCCTTCTTTATATATTTTCTTCCAGATATAACCAAATTTAATGCTTATGCAATACACGGTTCTGGAGATTCAAAACATTATGAATCATTGTATGCTGTCAGTGACGGGACTTTTAAAGAACCAGACTTTCACAGACTTGAGTTCTTTGGAAATATAGATACAAGAAGAATAATTCCTTCAGATTATAATAGACAACCTTTTGATGATATGAAATATGGAAATTTGTGGGCAGAAGGATTGAAGGAGGAATAATAGTAAATTGATTAAATGGGAGGTGATCTTGTGGATTTTTAAAAAATGTATTTTTCTAAATATATTTATTTTGGCTCTTGTCCAGTTTATGCGTCCCATGAAAGTATATGCGTCCCATCAACAAAAAATTGAATATTTCTTGGTGTTGCAAAGTAGGGGTATGGTTCAAAAGCATTTCTTCATATTCGGGACCTACGCCCACTGGGTCTGGGACCGTTCCTTACCCTATACCTCGAAATTTCTGAAAGTTAAAATCGTTTTTCTGAAATTTTTAAAAATTGGCTATAACTTTCAGAAATTTCGAAGGATAGGGTAAGGAACGGTCCCAGACCCAGTGGACGTAGATCCCGAACATGAATAAATGCTTTGGAACCATACCCCTACTTTGCAACACCAAGAAATATCCAATTTTTTGTTGATGGGACGCATATACTTTCATGGGACGCATAAACTGGACAAGAGCCTTTATTTTTCCGGAAAATACATTTTACAAAAATACATTTTTTTGAAATACAAAAATACATTTCCGGAAACTTGTATTTTAATGAACGTACACATTTCCGGAAAAAATATATGTATTTCTGAAAAAATACATTTTTATAAAAACAAAAAATTGTATTTTCCGGAAACTATCAACCGGAAATTGTATACACATTTCCGGATACATTTAAATGAAACACTTCCGGAAAATACACAATCACTTATAATAATTATATTTTTTGGATTATATCTTTTATAATTATGTATTTTCCGGATTGTATTTTTGGTTGAAATTAGCATACACATTTCCGGAAAATATATTCTCAGGAAAATACATTTGTTGAAATACTTTTCCGGAACCACTCACATTTCCGGAAATTACATATGTATTTCTGAAAAAATACAAAAATTCATAAGACTTCATGGCCGATTGGTTATAACGTTTGACTAGCCACCAATAAGGTTACAGGTTCGAGTCCTTTTGTCGGCAATTTTTTTTATTTTATTTAAAATTAATTTAAAAATCGTTTTTAATTTTTTCTGTTGTTCTATAAATATTTTTAATTATATTTACTTGATATTTAAACGTTTTTTAACAAATTATATTTCATTTTTCATTTAAAGTTTATTTTAAATTTTTTAAAAAGTCATGTTCCAACAAAACAACGATTTTTGTACAGTTTGTGGCACAATTTTGCCGTTGCCTGAATTGATGCCTTCAACCGTGCAATGTGCTCTATGCAGAAATAAATGGCCTGCTAAACGTTGGATTAAATTTAATTTTTGGGGTTAAACCTGAAGGACCCTGAAGACCAACAATTTTTAAAAGGAAATATCGAGGGATTTGGTGTGATTGAAGGGAACACCATAAGTTCTAAAATTCAGAATGCTTTCAAGAGCTGGGTATTTTTCCCTGTAATTCCCTTGATATTCCCTTTCAAAAGTTGAAGGTCTTCAGGGTCAATGGTGATTGCTAGGACACGAGCCGAAGGCCCCTTGAAGACCTACAACTGGAGGCCCCTTGAAGGCTGAAGGCCCCTTCCATTGCCCTTAAAGACTGAAGGCCCCTTCCATTGGAGTTCAAAGCTAAACTAATTCCTTTTCCCAATTTTTTTCAGTTGATCAAGAAAGAAATACCTTCACCTACAAACGAAGCTTCGAAAAAACACAACAAGATGACGACAAAAATTTAAATGTGGAGGAAGATGTGACAGTGGAGCATTTATGTCCAAAATGTGATTATAATGTGGCTACATATACTACACAACAGACAAGATCGGCAGATGAAGGACAAACGGTTTTTTATCAGTGTGTGAAGTGTAAGCATAGATGTATCGAATATTCCTGAGATTTTGTTGAGTTTCCTTTTGATAAACAAATTGTTGATATTTTTGAGGTGGTCTTTGGGGTTACTTTAATATAAAAGCTCAGGGTTAGTTCCAAGTTTATTTTCTATAAAGACTCAGAGGCTAGACCTAAATTCTTGAAAATTTTCTCAAATTTCTTTAGCATCGTTGACTACCTCCTTAAGAAATTTCATAAATTTTCATAAATATTTTCAAAGTTAAAGTCAATAGACCTCGAAAAATTACCAACCTTCATAAGGAACGTGATTTTTGGCACTTTTTCGATCATAACTTTTTTATAGAGAGGCAAGAATTTTGATTTTCTGGAATATTGGAGCTTATTTAATGCTCTATCCAATGGTACTAGAAATATTAAAAATTATCAACCCCCTGATAAGCTATAGGGCTCGGGATTGAACTGTGCCGGGACTGAACGAGGAATACCCGTTTTTTGTTTTTGTGACACAGAGAAAGTTTGGGGTGCGACCGGTACGAATGTGTATCCTTGACCGAATTTATTATATTATTAGTTTATTATTTTCTATACACTTTTTATTATAAATTCTTTTAATAACAAAGTAAATAATTATTAATGTTAATTAAATTTTTATTTTTATTATTATTTATTTTTGATTTTGTAAAATTGCAAAATGATAATGAATTAAATTATGAATTTCCTATTGGGTACTTTGGTTGTTTCCTCGCCCATAGTGTTTAAGATGTACATAATGGTCAGGGTTTGCAAGCGTCTTGCAGGTTTGTTGTGTAGCTATTAGAGATCGAGCTGCATTTTTTTCCATGCATTTTTTTACCCTTCCTGGGTTTTTATTGGGCCTGGGTTTTTTCCTGGACTACAGGCCCAGGACCCGGCCAATAAAATAAACCCATAATCCAGTAACAGGTCCAGGATTTTTAAAAATCTCGATCTCTAGTAGCTATAATATAAAGGCCAAAGAAGGTGTTCATTCTAGTTGGATCATACTAGCCTGGCTAGTCATTGATCTCCTTCCTTGGTCTATTCCACCTCCCAGTTCTTCGTCTAAATGGTACATTTCTATTTCTGATAAAAATGCTTATTCTTGTGCACGTCGACGCTGGTGAATCTCGGACACCCCCGGACATAACAAAGTTAACGGTTGCTAAATTCTCACAAACCTATTTTTTTGACCATTTTGTACATCTTAAAATTAACTTGGGTGGGTCATACATAAGTGCCCTTCCGTTAACCCAAAAAAATATTTTTAGCCAAACAACAACCCAAATTTTAACAAACAACTACACAAAAATTTATGAAAATTTGTTAGAAAAAATTTCAAAATATTGCATTACAAATAAAGAATATGAAGATTTTTATAAAATCAAATTAAAACCAGGCCTTATTTCAACCTTTTTCCCTTTTCTAATTGAAGTGACTGTTAAACAAATTGGACTAAATGAACTTCGACATTGTTTAAATTTGAAAAAACAAAAAATAAATTTTATGGATATGGTCGATGAAGAAGTTGAAGAGGTCAGTTGAGCGCTCTTGTGAAAGAGGGTAATATTAACGCTTAACTCCCCCCCCCTTTCTCCAGAATCTATGGTGGCGTGTGTACCAGGGGTGTGCCGAAAGTGATTTTGAAAAGCGGACGGCGAAAGACGAAAGTCCAAAAAAGGCGAAAATCTGCGAAATCCGAAAGACGAAATTAGTCTCCCTATGAGTCTAGAGAGCCTTTAGTCAAATAATTCAAAAGCCCTACTTCTATTTCAATAGGATCCGTAATCAGATAAAACTTTTTGTGGATCCTTTCAAGTCAGATTTCATTGGTTTTAGTGCCATCCTCTTTCAATTGACATATAATTTGCCTTAGAAAAGGAACAAATGCCACAAAGGGGTTCAGAAAAAAAGGGGAGTATAAACGCTACTATTACCAACAGAAGAAAAGGAAAAGGTGGGGGAGATCGGATTGTACCGATTATTCCTGCAAGGAAAATTTTTTTAAATTAATGCCCAAAAGGCCTTAATTCAGCGCTCGACTGACTTCACCCACCCACCATATTTTAAGGAGAACAAGACAAAATATACTAAAGAAGCATTAGAATATTTCAAAAAGAAGGTCTATAGATTTTCTGAAGATTTAGTTGCCGAATTAAAATTTTGGCCAGAAGATGTTGAAAATGCTCAGATATTTTTAGACAAAAAATTTCCACAAGTTCGACAACTATTTCAATTAAAATACGAAGAAATGGGAATAAAAAATTTAAAAATATTAAATAAAAAATTAATTGATGACATGTTTGAGGAGTTGAGGAAAATGAAGAGGGATGTCCATTTTAAATTTTTTGATTTAAATTTAAAGTCGTCTAGCGCTAATTTTTTTATACCAACTTTAAATTGTTCTGATCCTAAATATTTTGAAAGACTTGAATTGGATAAAAGTTAAATTGAGAGATTTTTTTAATTTTTTAACATCTCGGAATCACTCCGGCATATACATTTTAGTAATGTTCGGGAGGAGAAAAAACTCGGGAAACGAGAGGGGAAATGACCTCGGGAGGCCTAAAATTCGGGAAATTTTCCCGAGTCGGGATCGAGGGGGGGGGGGTCAATTATTTACCGAGACTTGAGGATAATTTATCCGTCTTACAATGAATCGAGCCATACTCTGAAATGGCCTTTCCATTTCTACGTGAAAAGGACGATTCAGTTATTTTTTTAATTTTAATTTTCCAAAAATCGATAAAAAATCTTTAAATCAATAATTTTTATTTTGAGCAAAAAATGAAATTAAAAAACTATGAAACGGATTCAACACAAAAAACCATTAAAAATGCAAAATAAAACAAATGTAAAGGCAGTAAATTTGAAATTACACTTAGACTAAAATCCGTGTATTTTCTTTCCGGAAAGTTTTACACAAAATTAAAGATTTTCCGGAATTAAAAATAGGTATGTATATTTATTTGAGAATGAGATCTTTAAAAATTCTTTGACTTTCTCTTGGCAATGTATTGTTTTAAAAATTGTTGTAGAGGATGTGGGGGGGGGGGGTTTTCTGATTGTTGTTCTGACCCGATAATTTTAATTTTTTAATATTAAAGAAATCTGTTGCTCTCCTTGATTTGTTTTTCAAACTAGAAATTGAAAAAAATTTTTATTTAAAATTGAGGTTTAAAAAATAGGTAGGTTAAAGACTTGAATAGGGACAATGAGGTGTTATTATTCCAAAAATATTTTATTTTTTACTTAAAAATGAAATTAAAAATTTTTTATAACAAAAACTACCACAAAAACAATATTTTCAACCCTAAATAAACTAGAAAAATGTTTGACCATCAAAAAGGATTCGAACCCACGACCCTTTGGGGAGCTAGTCTAACACACTAACCACTCGGCCACGAACGCCTCCTATCCCAAAGAATTAAATTAGCTCTATCTACCCGTCTCTTCAGCAATTCTATCAGGCAACAATTCATTTCCATTATTACTCATTTCTCTCCCTCCTTCAGAGAAATTAGCTGAAGTAACAATTTCTCCTGTATGCCTCCAATTAGAACAACTATCAATAGAATCTCCAAAAGTATTATCAAAAACAGGGGAACATGTAGAAGAATTTTGTGAAGAAAAATCATCATCAAATTGTTGGGGTAATTTTGAACAATTTAACAAAATATTTTGATTAATTGAAGGTCTATCACTACTTTGATGTGATGGTGTAGAAGATGAATGTGTTGTTATTGTTGTTAGACATGAAGAAGGTTGTTGGGAGGAAGAAGTGTTTGTACCTTTTTTAAGAGAGAAATTTATTTAAAACTTAATTAAAAATGTTTTTTTACTCAAAAAATGAACTTAAATATTTTTTTATAAAAAAACTAACACAAAAAAAACTTTTTTTCCAACTTAAATTAACATAGAAAAAAGTTAAGCAAAAAGGATTCGAACCCATGACCCCTTTGGGGCCAAATCCAAACACCTAACCATTCCGCCACCGACGCTTATTAATGAATAATTAATTTATCGATATATTTCTAGAAGGGAAAATATACTTTCTCTCTTAACAGAGTAAAAATCAGATTTTTGGTCATAACTTTTTCAATTCTTATCCGATTTAAATTATTTTTATATCAATCGAAAGCTTTAAATGTGGGTAATATTTTCTTTAACAGAAACAATTTAATCAGATGACCACAAAAGAAGTTATAGGCAAATAACGACTGAAAATCGCGATTGCGAGCACTTATTCAGCTGTAACTTTTTAAGTATTGATTTTTTCACAAAGTCATTGCTAGATAAAATAATCCTCACATTTACAGCTTTCGATTGACACAAAAATTAGAAAAATCGGATAAGGTTTAGAAAAGTTATGGGTCAAAAAAAGGCTGAAAATCCACACCTATCAACTTTGACTTGGCCCACCAACCCCCAAAAAATTCCCCAGGACCGAGGCATCCCCCTACCTAGCCCTAAATAATTTTCATATTAACTCTCTTACCAATCCCAAAGCGTATACTCGTCCTAGGCGGTCTCGATTCCGGAAATAATTGATGAAAATGAGCTGCCCACGGTTTTGCCTGTCTCCATATAGATCGTCTTCTCCTCTTCCACCCTCCACTAATTCTTTGTGAGGACCTTCCCAAACTTGAAAAACTTCCTCTAGGTGTGGGTAATCTATTGGATGATGAATTTACTGTTCTCCATATTCTTGAATTTTTTTCTGATTTTTTAAATTTTTTGGAATATCCATCCAAATATGTTGAAAAAAAGGTTTCCAATTGAAAAGAAGTTTTTTCTTCTAATAACCAAAGTAATAAACCAACAAAAGTGCTTGACATACCTTCAAAAATATTTTTAAAAATAATTAAAAAAATTTTTTTTCGTTAATCTAAAGGGATTAAAGAAAGTGGCGGAAAGGTGACATTTTGTCCAGATTAGAGGCCGCAAAGATTTTTTTAAAAATCTTTGCGGGACGGGATCCCGCGGGATAAATCCCGCAAAATCCCTCACTCCCGCAAATCGAAAAAAGTGCGGGAGCGGTATCCCGCAAAATCCCGGCGCGGGATCCTGTCCCGCGCCGGTCTCTAGTCCAGATAATATTTTCAAAAATTTGTCATGATGACATTTCGTCCCATCAACAAAAAAAAATAAAATTTAAAAAATTATTAAGGTGGCCTTCTTTCTAAATTAAAAATTTTTTTACCAAGACATTTTGTCTCACATAAAAAAATTTTTTTAACAATTACTCCTTATTAAATATTTTATTTTTATTAAAAATTTAAATTTATATTTTTTCCTTTCTTTTATTTATTTTTAAATTTATTTTTATTTATTTTTCGTAAAAAAAAGTTTTCTCTCTCTCCCTCTTTTTCTCTTTCCGGTTTTTTTCTTAAAATAAAAAAAAATTTTTTTTACAAAATGTCCCCATAAAATATTTATTTTTATTTATTTAATTTAAACAAAAGAGAGAAAAGGACAATAAAAAAAAAATAAATAATAAATTTTTGAAGAAAATTTTTTTTCAAAAAAAAATTTAGCAAAAAAAAAGAAGATTAATTAATTAATTAATTAAAAAATGTGAAGAACTCCAAAAATTTGAAGAAAAAAATATTTTAAAAATTTTTTTCATTTTTTTAAATAAATAATTTTTTGATTTATTTTACACCCAAATTTTGTCCAAAAATAAAATTAAATTAATAACCAACAAAAAATTTGAAAAAAAAAATTAAAATAATTTTAGTGGGACAAAATGTCACTACTTTATAAAATATTAATTAAATTAAAAAAATAAATTCCCTAGTCATTAATAAATTTCAAAATCTAAAAAAATATTTTGGCTCTACTCCAGTTTATGCGTCCAATCGACTTTTATGCGTCCAATGAAAGTTTATGCGTCCAATAAAAAGAAAATTGGATTTTTCTTGATATTGCACAGTTGGGGTATGGGTCCAAACCATTTCTTCATGTTCGGGACCTACGTCCACTGGGTCTGGGACCGTTCCTTACCCGACCCCTGAAAATTTCTGAAAGTTATAATCGTTTTTCTGAAATTTTAAAAAATTGGCCGTAACTTTAAAAAATTTCTAGGAATAGGGTAAGGAATGGTCCTTGACCCAGTGGACGTAGGTCCCGAACATGAAGAAATGCTTTGGTATTATACCCCAACTGTGCAATACCAAGAAAAATCCAATTTTCTTTTTATTGGACGCATAAACTTTCATTGGACGCATAAAAGTCGATTGGACGCATAAACTGGAGTAGAGCCAATATTTTTTAGACCTCCAAAAATTTTTTCTTATATTTTTACCACCAAAAATAATCCAAAAAAACATTTTACGACCTTAAATAAAGCTAAAAAAATAATTGACACATAACAGGATTCGAACCCACAACCGTCCTATAGCCCATTCAGACACCCTAACCACTCCGCCACTACCACTCAATACTCGAATAAATAAATTAAGCTTATATTTAAAAGGGAAAATTTCCCTCAATTTTAGCCTAAATTACCCCCACAAATTTAAAAAAAATTTCAAAAAATTTTTAAAAAATACCTGAAAGTAAAATAATGTAAAAACAAGTAGATAAATGAAAATGTAATTTTTGTGGATTAGAATCATCATTTATTGGCCCTGGAAACATTAAGAAAAAATCATTTGCCCCAGGTGTATACCAGGCATAAACACAATCAGCAAATAAAGAGGTTAGTCCACAAAATAGAGAAATTTGGCCAAATTTGCTTGGGACTGCACACAAAAATATTAATTGTAATAACCACAAGGCGAATGCTAACCTTTAAAATTTTTTTTTTAATTTTTAAAAATTTTTAAAAATTAAATGACGTTTCGGCGCACAAAAGGGTTTGGCGCCGAGTTACTTTTTGGCCTATAACTCTGTTCAAACTCAACCAATTAAAATAATTCTTACATCAATCGAAAGCTATAAATGTCTAGAATATTTTTCATCTAAGTTACTTTCCGATTCGATGTTTAAATAAAAAGATATGAGCAAATAAGTGAGGCTAGTCGGGATTTACGGAGTAAATCGTTCAAAACTTTATTTTGAATAATTAAATTGACCCGGCCTCTAAAAGGAAAATAATCAGGATATTTAGAGCTTTCCAATGATATAAGATTTAATATATAAGATCGAAAATCAGAAAGGTACTTGAATAAAAATGTCCCTCCTTCCTTTAAGGAACCCTCAGATCCTAAAATGGTTTTCCTTTTATTTTTAATTAAAAAATTAATCTTAAAATTTTAATTAATCAAAAAAAATAATAAAAATAAATTTAAAAAATAATAACAAACCATAAAGCAGCCATAGTATAATACCCAGCTAGTCTATATTGTTTCCCCCACAAAAATCCAGTTCTGTCCACACTTAAATATTCCATAACGCGTAGTATAGGGAAAGGAAGACCCTTCTGTAAAACTTCTCCAACTTCCATTCCACTTACTAAAAATTAAAAAAAATTTTTAAGAATTATTAGAAGTGTAAAAATAAATTAAATTAGTCTTCCAGACAAAAATAAAAAAATTTCCCCACAGCCGGACTCGAACCTACGACCCCCAAAATTGGGGAAACCAAACACACTATCCATTACACCACCGAAATAAAATTTAAAAATTATTTGGAGGTGGAAGAGTCAATTTTTAGCCTTTCCAAGCAAAAAACAAAAAATTCCTCCCACGACCGGATCCGAACCCACGACCCCTCTTATTTGTACACCAGCACCCTATCCACTACACCACCACGACTACTTAGAAGTTTTATTAAAATAAGCTTATATACACCCTAAATTACCCTAATAATTAAAAATACCCACTAACCATCATCAAATTCAAATCTTTCATTATAAATTAATTTGGAATTTTGTGAATAAAATTCTTCTTCAATTTGTTCATTTTGAAATAAAGTCAAGTTTGTATTATTCAAAGAATTCCCAAATAATAATTTAGAAATATCACTTTCTGCAATTTGTGGAAGCTTTAATTCTCTGTTTATTTGTTGATTTGTTGTATTTAAAGGGAATAATTGTTCCTGAGGATCACCTTAAAAATTAGTATATTTTTTATTTAAAGGCTATTTTTAACTGAAAAATTGTTTAAATCAATTTTATAATTTTTAAAAGGCAGACAAGGACAAAGTGACATTTGGTCCCAAAAATAAGCAAAAAAATTTTTAATTAAAAAATAAAGGGAAAAATGATTATGTACTTTATTGGAGGTCATTTTTAACTAGAAAATATTCTTAAAATAAAAGAAAAATCGTTTGAATTAAATTTTGGAATTTTTAAAAGAAAAATAAGGACAGAGTGACATTTGATCCCAAAAAATAAAAAAATTTTAAATAAAAATCTAAAACAAAAACCAACTTATTAAAGTAATATTAACATGTGTTAAACCAACATTAACACCCAAAGTAGCCTCTATTCTCTGTCTAGAATGTGCTCTCAAGGTTGTAAATATTTTGATTTCTCCATAATGCCATCCTGGGTAATTTAGAGAAAGGGCTAGAGACGCCCCTATAGACATTGAAAATAAAAAACAAAATGTGGAGAGTGCACGTAAACGGCGAATTCCTGGCAATATTAAAATAAAGGCAATTGTTGGTGTTGCAAATAACCAAACTAATATTGCTAGACCCAAATCAAATAGTACTGGAGTTGGAGTGTTGTCACCATACCTGTTTAAAAGAATAGTATATTAAATTAGAATTCGAAAAAGAAAATGTTTTTTGGTTAGCTAATAAAAGTTTATGGATGTGGAGAAAAAATACAAAAAAAAATTTTTGCGGACAAAAATAAAATTTTGCGGACAGAAAATATCTGCGGACTGAACAAATTTTGAGGACAAAATAGTAGCTAACAAAGGAGAGGCTGTCAGGTGTACGTGGAACTTCTGGATAAAATTTGGCAGACAGATAGACTTGAGAGGCTTATAACTCGGTCCCTGGTACCCGCAGCGAAAATGGTGAAAATTTCGCAAGAAGTAGGGTATGATCTATCTGTCTGCCAAATTTCATCCCGAAGTTCCACGGATGAAATGCCGCGGAAAAAAGTGACCACGGAAAAAATGCCACGGGCCACGGACACCTCACAGCCTTTCCTTTGTAAAAAAAAAATTTGCGGACAAAAAAATTTTTTGCGGACAAAAATTTGCGGACAAAATAACAAATAAAAATTCATAAAAAAAATAAACAGACCAAGTTGGAGCCCCATTTTCCCGAAACGCATCAAACCAGGCAATACTCATTTCCTTTGGTTACGTATTTATTCCTCTCTTCTTTTATTTGTTTAATTAAATATTTGTTGTTAGTCTCCAAATTATTAATCGTGTAGAACATGAAGAGAAGAAAAAATTTTTTAAAAATTTTTAATTAAATTTAGACGTTCTTCTCTTTAAATATTTTTTAAAAAAATATTCCTGAAAAAAACAAAAAATTTATTTAAAAATTTAAAAATGATTCAGCGAAAAATTGGGGGGAAACGAGGGGGAAATTGAGGGGAAATAGGAAATAAATTTGTTTAATTGTTTGTGACTGATACTACCCTTCCTCTCCTACCTCCCCTACCCTTTCCTTTATTTTATAAATTAATTTGCTACAAATTTAAGCAGTAATCAATCATTTTAAAGAAGAACTTAAAAATGAGGTCGCGCCAGAACGTTAAAAAATAAAAAAGGATGGCCGTATTTGTTTAAACAGCAAAAAAAAAGTGAAAAAGCGGTCAAGGCAAAGCAATTTATTAACTATTTTACAAATATAGAAAAATATTTTTTAATGAAAAATATTTTTAAAGAAAAAATAAATATGACGAAAACATTGGAATGAGGAAGGAAAAAATAATCAACTAAAAATAACAAAAATAAATGTCAGAAAAACATTTGCAGGCGAAAAGGGTCGAACCCTAGACCATCACAGGGCGTAATCAAAAGTGCTCACCACTACACCATCGACGCTGCTTACAAACAAGTCTATTAAAAAGTAGACTAGAATAATAAAAGAAAATATTAAAATTAAACAAGTTTCCGGAAAGTTTTCTTTTATTTTCCGGAAACTTAAGTAAACAAATTAAAACTTAATAAAAGAAAACAATAAACTTAAGTCTTTCCGGAAACTTAAAAACTTAAGTTTCTTCTCTTCTTTTGAAGGAAAGAATAAACTTAAGTTTCCGGAAAGATTTTAATTTTATCCGGAAAATTAATAAACTTAAGTTACAACTTAAAAACAATAAACTTAAGGCTTTCCGGAAACTTAAGAACTTAAGTTAAAAACTTAAGTTTTAAGTTAAGAACTTAAGTTTTAAGTTAAGAACTTAAGTTTTAAGTTAAGAACTTAAGTTTTAAGTTAAGAACTTAAGTTTTAAGTTAAGAACTTAAGTTTTAAGTTAAGAACTTAAGTTTTAAGTTAAGAACTTAAGTTTTAAGTTAAGAACTTAAGTTAAGAACTAAACTTAAGAACTTAAGTTTCTTCCCTTCTCTTTTAAAGAAAACAATAAACTTAAGTTTCCGGAAAGTTTTGTCTTACATATTTTCCGGATAATTCTCTCTAACCTGTTTTTGTTCTGTTTCTCTATTCTTACTATAATAATGTGTAAGCTTCTATTTTTCTATTTTTAAACCAAAAATTAAATTTTTAAAAATTTTAAAAATATTTTGTTTAAAAGGTATAGGTTTGCTGTTATATTATCGTTGCAACGCTCAATTTATTAAAAATGTCAGACAATTTTTTTAAAAATTATTTTCAGGGACACAACCTCCCCCTCAACCTCCCTCAACACAACTTCTAGTTGAAAGGTTTTGTGTTTCTCTCTATATAAGAAGCTTACTAAAAAAGAGAAAAGAAAGGGAGAATTAACGTTCACGAACAAATAACCTCCCAAAAACGGTGAAAAACATAAAAATGAAAAAAAATTTTTGGTGTGAAAACGTAGCCACAGGGAAGAGAAGAAAAGGGAAAATCAACAAAAGTATCAATTTTTTCGTTGTTTTTGTTTAAAAAAAATAAAAGAAAATATATGGGGAGTTTTATTGTGTTTTTTTATGTTCGTTTGTTTTATTTTTGCTGTTAAGGTTTGAGGGACAAAAACGGTCCCTTTTTATGAGGAACACCAACAGAGAAATTACCCAAAAAATTTTTTTCTAATTTTTATCGAAATAGAATCTAGCAAGTTAATTTTTTTCTTAAACTGTAGCTAACTAGTTATCGAAGGTTAGTGAAGGAGAGATGGACATCAGCTGTTAACAGAGGTAGGTCGGAACAGTCACAGGTGTCGAAAATCGGAAGAGCCGGAAATCGGAACCTGCTCAAAAGTCGAAAATCGGAAATCAAAATTTTTTTCGGAAATTGGAAGGAAAAAAAGGTCGCAAATCATTATTCAGACCCAACTCTGGGTGCTAATAAACAAACACTGTTGCCTAGGCCAAACGGATTAGGCAAAAGTTAGGAGAGAGAGAAGGGGCCCTGTATAGAGAAGAACAGCAGTCCAACCCAAATTTGTCATAAAACACTCAAAACCCTCTTTTTTAAATTAAATAAAAAATTCAAACAATAAACTTCCCCAATATTTATTTTAATACACTTAAGAGGAAGAAAAAATCTTTTTTAAAGGAAATAAAATCTATTTATTTACTCAAGGCTATAAAAAAGACTAAAAAAGATAACAAAAAGGACAATAAAAATGTTTACTAATACCCTAACCTCTTAAAATAAAAATAGGAAGTAAAAAATGAAAAATTAATAAAAGAAAAAAAGAAAATCAACGAGCGTGGTCGAACCTTGGACCCCTCACAGGGTGCAGTCAGCAACACTCACCACAACACACCACCGATGTTATTGAAACAAATTTTAAAAAGCAACTATATAATTAAATAAAATCTAGTATTTATATATACAAATTTTTGCCTATATTTGTCCTCAACAAAAAAATAATAATAAAATAAATTGGTAAAATAATTTTGAAAAAAAAACAAAAAATTTGAAAAATGTTATGTCCGAGGGTATACGAATGTAGACGTGCAATAGAATAACAGTTTATCCAAAAGAGAAATGACAATGTGTAGGCGAAGGGATTGAGGTAGAACAGACGAAGGAGATCAGGGACTAGCTGGGCTAGTATGATCCAATTAGACTGACGCTTAGTAGTGTCACCACTACACAACAAAAAATAAACTTGAAAAAATAAATAAAAATAAACTGAGAACTTTGTTCTCAGAATTTATTTAAAATTCTGCAAAACAACAGGTACAAACTGTTGGAATTTTGTAGTTTATTTTTAAATAAAATTTATTTTTTTTCCTTTTAAAAAATTTATCGAAAAATAAATATTTTTAATTTTTAATATTTGTCAATCAAAAAATCTCAAAAAATTACAAAAAAAAATATTTTTTAATGTCAAAAATAATTTTTATTAAATTCTTTTTTATTAATATTTTTGATTGACAAAAATATTTAAAATATTCTTAAAAATATTTAAAAAAATTTTTTTAATATTTTTTTGTCATTAAAAAATAATTTTATTATTAAAAAACTTATTTTTAATAAAATATTTTTAAAAAAGGCCAATTTTTCAAAAAAAAAATATAGACGAAAGAAGATTATTAAACACAAAACAATTTTTGAAGGACTTGGGTTTCTTTAAATAATACAAAAAAATTTCCAACTGGTTCAAAAACGACATTTGGGAGAAATGACCTGAGGGGATTTGCCTCAACATTTTATTAAAAAAATTAGGTGTGCGCCATTAACGCAAAAACAAGGGAAGGCCATTTTTCCTCATTAAAACAACTTTAGAGGGGTTTGTGAGGATCCAAAAAACTTGTTTTTGCCTCTCTTAAAGTGTCCTTGATTATCCCTAAAGGAAGAAAATTAAAATAAAAATAGTAGTTCTTTTTTGGCGTTAATGGCGCACACTTAAAAATTGGCTGGAGGACGAATTGATAAAAACAATGGAACGAACATCAAACTTAACAAAAAAAATTAAAAAAGGAAGGAAAGGTAGAAGGATAGGGGAGACTTTAAAAAAATAATAATAATAATGTTCCATTCAGTTGGCCAGCCAAAAAAAAAATTTGAAAAAAAAATTAAAAAAATTTTTTTGGAAGCCATTTGACCTCAAAAATTAATTTTTTTTTAATATTTCCACCAAAAATTCTTCCAAAAAATTCTCCAAAAAATTAAAAAAAGACAAATAAACTGACCGGTTAGAAAATATGTTTTTATGTGTCAGGTTTTTCTGTAAACAAAAAAGAAGACAAGTTTAGAAAAAAAAAAGAATTATGAGGACATGAGAGTTATGAGGACTCCTAAATGAGTGTTAAAGAGAGATTAACATCTTTAATAATTAGATTAATTAAAAACAGGATTTATGGATCACATAATAATTTTTAAAAAATGGGCAAAAAATTAAAAATAATTTTTTTTTGATTTTTAGAATTTTCAAAAAAATTAAAAAAAAATTCAAAAAAAATTAAAAAAAAAATTTTTTTTCAATTACCCAATGATTTGTTCAAAAAAGATATGTATTTTTAATTAAATTAAAAATTGAAATGACACACCCAAAGTTTTAAAGAATTAAATTTAATTTTAGCAAATTTTGTAGTAAAATTTAAATTAAATTTAAAGGTAAGTGTTAATTTATTCTGATTTGAAAGGTTGAAATAAATACATATAATCAAAACACAAATAAAAAGAATAAGTCAGAAGAAAATACAAAAAAATACAAAAAAAATACAGAAATAAAATCAGAATTTATTAAACTACACATAAAAACACAAAAATCAGAATTTTAGTTTTAAGCAGAAAATAATCAGAATTTTAATAAATAAAACAAAAATACAAAAATCAGAATATATTACAAAATAAATCAGAAAATACATACAACAAAAATACAAAAATAAAATCAGAATAAATGGATAAAGTGAAAAATACAAAAATCAGAATAAATAAATACAACAAAAATATAAAAATCAGAATAAATAGAAAGCCAGAATAAAATAAAAACACAAAAATCAGAATAAAGAGGACAGTCGGAAAAATACAAAAATCAGAAATAACCTAATTTACTTCGCTTTAAACCTATTAAATCCTAACCTAAAAATTTAAACATAAAATAAAAACTATTTAAAAAATTAAAAATAATTTACATTTTTCGAATAATTTATTAAAACAAAAAATATACAAAAATAAATTAATTAAAAAAATAAAAGTAAAAAAAAAGAGAAAAGTGACGATGGCAATGACGACTAAAAACAGGAAGGCAAACAAATTGTGTGTGTAAAAGGTCTCGATTAAAGTAAATTGAAAAAAAATTTTTTTTGAGAAATGCAAGGTGCGAGAAAAAATGGGGAGAAGATGAAGAGAAAATTAAAAAAAATATAAACTTGAAAAGGAGCGCAGTTAAAAAAAAATAAAATAAAATTGCAAAAATAAATAAATTAAAATTAGTTGGTGTCCTAATACATATACCAATTTGACGAAAAAGAAGAAAAAATGAATTTATTGATGATGATATAAAAAGTATTTTGTGATCTACACTCAAATATTTTTAATAAAAAATAAATATAAATACAAGAGAATAAAAATCAGAATTTAGTAAAAGTAAAGAAAAATACAAAAAATTCTGAAAAAATTCTGAAACACAAAATTCTGATCAGAAAAAATACAAAATGAAATAAAGAAAATACAAATATATCAGAATTAATTAGAAAGGGAAAAATACAAAGGAAAAGACAAAGCTCAGAATTAATAAAATAGAAAAATACAAAAAGATAAAGATCAGAATTAATAAAAGTTGCAAAGAAAAACACAAAAATCAGAATTATTAGAACGGAAAATACAAAAGAAATAAAAATCAGAATTATCCAAATAGAAAAAATACAAAAAGAAATAAAATCAGAATTATTAGAACGGAAAATACAAAAGAAATAAAAATCAGAATTATCCAAATAGAAAAAATACAAAAGAAATAAAATCAGAATTAATAAAGAAAATACAAAAATCAGAATTATATTAAAATAGAAAATACAAAAAAATATAAAAATCAGAATTATTAAATAGAAAAAATACAAGAAAATATAAAAATCAGCATATTAAAATTCTGAAAGTTAAAAACACAGAAAAAATACAAAAAATACAAAAATCAGAAAATTAAAAAATACTAAAACACAAAAACAAAAGAAAAATCAGAATTAAAAATTAATAAAACAAACAAAAACACATTATTAAAAATAAAACAAACAGACACTAATTATTAAAAACAAATAAAATGTTTAAATAAAAATGCCCAGAATTTAATATTTTTGAAGAAAAAAAATATTAAAAGGTTTCTGCGCAGTCTGAGTCCACACGTCAAAAAATTGAAGGAATGTACAGCTTCGGGCAATTGTCAGCAAATAATCGATCGGGCAAAGAAATTGGAAGAAGAGACGAGTAATAATAAGTGTGTGAAGCAAATGATGTGAAAAAGGCTAAAAAAATAAAGAAAAGAGCCGTCAAATGTGCGCAAGTTGCGGTGAAATTGTGTTGAGTTGTTTGTTTGTATCGATAGGTTTATAGTGTGTATATTGCTTTCTCTTTTTTTTAAATTCATTTTTTGATGGTGATTCACAGTTTGAACCGTGTAAAAAATTTAAAAAATTTTCAAAAAAATTTAAAAAAAATTTCAAAAAAATTCTTTGTGGTTAAGTTGGTAGTGTGTTAGACTTGACTATCTTTTGGGTGTAAGGTTCGAACCCGCTTGCCGTCCACCCTTTTTTAAATTTATTTTTCGATGGTGATTCACAATTTGAACCGCTCAAAAAAATTTTCAAAAAAAATTTTGGGAAAATTTTCGAAAAATTTTTTTGTGGTTAAGTTGGTAGTGTGTTAGACTTGACTATTTTTTGGGTGTAAGGTTCGAACCCGCTTGCCGCCCATACTATTGGCAATATTTATTTAACTTCTCTCAGTTATAAAAAAAATTATAAAAAATTTTATTTTCCATTTTAATAATTTTAAATTAAATTTTAAGAGTAAAATTTTTAAATTTAACAAATTTATAAACTCGAAGGCTCTGATGTTTTTGACGAAAGATGAAGCGAAACCATTTCCTAAACTGTTCAGATGTCTGCTCAGAATGTCTTTAGGTCATGATTTCGATCATTTCGAATTCCTTTAAAAATATTAGAACAATTCCAAGCAAATCCAAATATTTATTTGATACATGTCAAAATGGTAAAAAACAATTGGGTCAGAAATTGCCAAGTTATTAAGCTTGCCGTTGAATCTACAGATTTTAACAGTGATGAAAAGCAATCAGAATCGCTCAAAATCATGTCGAAATGGTAAAAATCGATTGGGTCAGAAATTGCCAAGTTATTCCAGCCTTGCCGTTAATCAACAGCTTTTTAACGTTGAATCTACCGTTGATTAAACAAATAATTAATTTATTCACCAAACTATAAAAACTAACTAGCTTTCACCCCCACTCTTTCCACCAACTTTCAATTAAAAAAAGAATTTAAATAAACAAAAATATAAAGAATGTGTATAGTTGGCATTTATAAAACTCTAACTCTACTTTTATACAATTTTTCTCTTTTTCTCTAACCCCACAACTATTTCTTTAATCTGCCCTCCATTAAATTGTTTCACACACACTCCTAGTCAGTTAAAAAATTCAATAGTCTATTTAGAAAAAATTCTAACGCGAATTGACGACTAAAAATTGAGCTGCAATTACAGTAGGAAAATATCGACCGCTGCAAAGAGACTCACACACAAAGGGTAGAGAAGCTGCATCTTTTAATGTCTAGTTCTGCCAAATTCGGATTTCGACCCAGAGCATTAGATGTGACCAGAAGACTTCCTATCCGGATTCGAAAATGTCGAAAAAGAAGCCCCAAGATCAAAAGAACCGTGGCAACGGCTCCGACGGGTATGGAGAAGGAAGAGGAGATGGTTGGTTTTGTTGTTAAATAATGGCTGCCACTGTCTGCTTCTCTAACTTTTCTCATGTTTCCATCACTGTCTCTCTTTAACTGACAGGGCAGCCATTCGCGGGGTGTTTGGGCGTCTTAAAAATTTTAATTTAAATCAAGGATCATTTCAAATCATTTAATCACTTTGGGAACTCGCACAAGCATTTTTCGATTTCAGAAGACCCTAAAATTCCGTTTTTGTCTTCCTCCTTTGTTTACGCCCCAAAAATCGATAAATGACACTTTGTCCCATTAAAATAAAATTTAAACAGAATGCCAAATTTTTCCAAATTTAATTTTTCTTTTTAAAGGAATCACATTTGCAACAAGCTATCCTCGCACAAAAAGCTACCTCAGCAGGAGATTCAGTCAAAAATCATGTAATCCCTACGCCCAAAGTGTAAGTATGTTTATTCTAGAAGAGAATTAGACCCTGTCCCTAAAGAAGGGCGGCGGAATCGTTTATTCATTACCTGAAAGGAAAGGAAAAATTGAAAGGAAAATGGAAACGAACGGACTCGGACAGACAAAACACAGACGGACTCGGAAAGACGTCCGTATTTGGTCTGACCCGAGTCTGTCCGTGTTTTGTATATGTCGAGTCTGTTCGTCTCCATTTTTCTTTCCATTTTTACTTACCCTTTTTCCTTCCGTTCAGGTAATGAAAAAAACGATTCCGCCCCTCTTTTGGGATAGGGCCGAGAATTAAATTTAAAAAAATAAAATTTTTTTAGAACATCCCTCAGAGATGATGAATACAACAGAATATACCCTCAAGATAGGGGGTTTCCAAAAAACAAAAAATTAATCGTTTTTAATGGTTTCTTCAATTTTTTTTTAAATCTTCAATTTATTTTAAAGATTATGTCCCTTTCTTTCTTGCTCAAAGCAGTTACAATGCCGATTCTGAAGATGAAGAATGGCTCAATTCTAGAAGGAATATTACTATTGATGATTTTGAACATATCATTGAAAAGTTGGAAATATCGTCTCAAAATGATATTATTAGGCCGAGGTAAAATTTAAAATTATTTTAGGGAATTGGGGAAGTTTTTGGGGTATTAGGTGACATGAACTTTAAAAATATGTTTGTTGGCGACACTAGAGATAAAGATTAGGGTTGCCAAAATGGACCGACTCGGACCGAAAGATCGAGTCATGCCTCGATGTTTGGCCCGAAAAAGACTCGTACCGGCCCGACTCGATAAAAACAAGCCCGAAAAAAATGCCTCGACCGTCGGCCCGACTCGAAAACGGCAACCCTAATAAAAATTTTTAAAAGGCCTGCTCCTGGGTTTGATTCATCGACCTGAGCCGGGTCCTTGGTCTGTAGTCCAGGAAAACCAAGGAAGGTAATAATGCCTGGGCCTGGACTCTGGGCAAGGGCGTATCCAGGGGGTCGGTTTCGGGGGGGGCTAACACTGGGTGGGCGCAAAAATTTTTGGCGTTTACCTTGGCGTTCCGGACACAAATTTTTTTGTACATAAATTTTCATCTTTTCTGCGCCGCAGGCGAAAATTTTTTGAATTTTAGAAGGCCGTAGTCAAAAAAATTCACTTATTCAGCGCCGCAGGCAAAAATTTTGGAAAATTTCGGGGTCCTTAAGACAAATTTCTTCCTTTTCTAGCGCCGCAGGCAAAAATTTTTTGAAATTTGGAGCCCAAGAAGCCAGATTTCTGTCTTTTTTAGCGCCGCAGGCGAAAATTTTTTTAAATTTGAGGGTTGTAGGCGAAAAAATTTCACTTTTTCGACCATCCTTCTCCTAATTTTTTCCCCCTTTCCCCCATTTCGGGGGGGGCTCTAGCCCCCCCCAGCCCCCCCTGGATACGCCCTTGACTCTGGGTACAGGAAAAACCCAGGCCTTGGTCCAGGTCCAGCTCGATCTCTATTGTCGACCGATTTTATTCCGTGATTCATCGACCTGAGCCGGGTCCTTGGTCTGTAGTCCAGGAAAACCAAGGAAGGTAATAATGCCTGGGCCTGGACTCTGGGTACAGGAAAAACCCAGGCCTTGGTCCAGGTCCAGCTCGATCTCTATTGTCGACCGATTTTCTCCCGTGATTGCTGAGATGTGGAATTTTAAGGATTATCCCTTTTCTTCAAAATTTAAAATTGTTTACGTTTTTTGGGAGGGACAACCATTTAAGATGAAGATAATTACACCCACATCTTTAAAAAAATTTTTTTAAAGGAATGCCAGAGCTTTATTATCACGGTATGATTTTGGATTAGTCGATGATGTATATGATTACTGGTTACAAAAACGACAGGTTTGGAGGAATAAATTAAAATTTTTTTGGAATAAAAAAGTTAAGGAAACATTCCCGTGTCTTCACTTTTGGAAAAATTTTTTGGGAAAAGATATCCCTTTTTCTGAAAATTCTCCTGGATCCTTTTCGTTTCTGAAAAAACGGTCATACTTTTCTTGGGAGGGGCAACCTTTTTTACAAAAAATTAACATACCATTAGTCCAGTTTTAAAAATTTTTTGAGGACCATTTTTACTGATTAGGACATAGAGACTCACGAAAACAACTCCCCGCTCAAAATTTATTTTTTCTTGAGAGGAACATCCATTTACAAAAAATTAAAATATAAGGACCTAAGGGAGGGGAGCGAAGACTCAAAATTCTTCTCTCGCCTCCTTCAGATCGAGGATTAATTGGAGGATTAAGACAAATAATCCCCACAAAAACGATTCTCCATTCTTCACCAGGGATAGGCCTCGCTGAAAAAATCTTCTTCGAATCGGATTTTTGATTAAAAAAGCTTCGGGTCAAGAAAAAGTCAAGGTCTCGGATACTCCCTTCCATCCCTCTTCTGTATGCCCTAAAATTTATTTCGTTATTTTTCTTTTTAGAAAGCAGCATCATCCAAAAAACATCCCTGTCCTCGTCTATTATCAAAAATATATTCAGAAATCAGCAACAGCAGTCGAAGAGACGATAGCAAATCTATCACAAATCCATATATTGCCTTTCGTAGAAGGCTTGACAAAGTCCAAACACGCAAAAAACAGCGAACAGAATTATCAACTTATGAAAAATTGCTTCAAATAAATTTTGTAATGAAACGTTCAATTGTACTAACTGGGATAATGGCACAAAGAGAAAAATTGAAAAAAGTTTTGTTTGATTCTGAATTTGATTTGTTTAAAATGAAAATTTTGGAATTACAAAGAGAAAAGGGAAGAGACGGGAAAGAAGAAAATGAAGAAAAATTGGAAAGAATTCAAGAAATACATGAACAACAACAACCTTCAACTAGTGGAATAAATGATTCAGAATTTATTTTATTAAAACAACAACAACAAAGCTCAAGTAGAAGAAATAGTTCAAATTTAGATTTTATTAAGGATGATAAAACTATACAAAGAAATATTGAGGTTATTTTTTATTTTATTTTTGAAACACAACTTTTTTGGTGGGAGGAATAAATAGGGGAAATAGGAAATTAAAGTTTTTGAATTGTCAAAAAATTTTTAAGTTTAGGCAGGTTAACATTTTTTAACTTGGGGAAGATACTCAAACACGAAAAAAAAGTTTTTTTTGAATTCCTAAAGGAAATTTTATTTTCTAAAATTTAGTCAGTTGATATTTTATTAATCAGGGAAGATACCCAAAATTTTTGTTTTTTTTTAATTAAATCCCTTGCGGAACCTTAGGGCAAGAAAAATTAAAAAGAGCCACAGATTTTAATTTTTATTAAAATGGAGATTAAATTATATTAATTTTATAATTTTTTTTTAAATCCAAATTTTAATTTTCCCAATTAAAATCCATCCTTTTCGGAACCTCAAAGCATTCAAAATTTCCAAATTAAAATAAATTTTCTTAAAAATTTAGTTATGGAATTCTGCCACATTAATTACATCAACAACCCTTTCATTACCAACAACTAGCGGCGACGATTCGTCAGAACTTGAAAAAATTGCTGCCACAGATTCAAATTCTATTATTGACGGTCGCTATCAATTTAAAAGAAAACATGGATGTAGATACAATGCACCAACCCCTCGTAATTTACTCAATGAGCGTCAACAACATTTGTCTATGCTTAATGACGAGCTTAGCACTTTTCGCTGTTTTTCAGCAAGGTTTTTTTTATTTTTATTTTGTGGGCCTTCCTATTTTTGTTATCATGGGGGTGGTGACTACGCTCGATGTAACCTTCTAGTCTTCTGAAGGGTTCGACCGCTGTCCCGTGTGAAAGGAATCGGGAAGCTCACGCGAAACTCGCATGGCCAACCCGAATTCCCCACAACAACCGTTCCCAGCATAACGGTTGTTGTGGCCTGTAGGATCACACTCTAGTTTTCTTTAATGCCGTGTCTACATAAAAAGCGTCTTGCGACTAAAAATAGCATTTAAAAGAAGGAGAGACAAAATCGCGTCTCTTCATTCCCAATGCTATTTTTGCCGCAAAACGCAAGTTTATGTAGACACGGCATGAGGAGAGGTTAAAAAAATTTTTTTACCTTTTACCCACATCAAGAATCCCTTAAAAATTTTAATATCCTTCTTTTTTAAGGTTTACTCAGGAAGTCTGCAATGAACCAGTTAATGAAGCCCCCACACAAAGGTTGAGGGGATTTGTTGGCAGGCGTATAGGCCGAGGAGGCCGCCAAATAATTGATCTCTTTTATTTACCTTCAAATTCTTCTACTCTTCCTCCTCCTCTTCTTCCTCCTCCCACAAATAGCAGAAATACTGAACGGATCTCTTCCGCGAAGAATGTATAAAAAAATATTTTTGACACACTGTCTTTCTCCTCCCTTTTTATCAGTCTCGCTTTCAGAAAAATTCTTTTTTTGGGCGTTAACATTTCATTTGACTCTCTATTTTTTGGGGTTGATTACCTATATTAGGAAAAAGTGCTTGGAAAATATTTTTTAAAGTTCCTTCCATAGCATGACCTCTCTAGGTCCTCGAAAAAAAATTTTAATTTTTGGGAAATTTTAAAAATTCAAGGTCACGGACGTTGACTAAAATTATTTTCTTTATTAATTTTGTTTTGTCTAAAACAGGTTACTAAATTGTCTAGTTCCAAGCACTTAATTTTAGGAGGTATGTGGTTAAACTTTTTGAAAAATTTTTTATATCTCCACAGCAGGGATGGCCAGGAAATACATTTAAAATTGTTTTTTGTAATAAAAAAAGGGACATCCAAAGCCATCCCTACATAAGCTTCCAAAAAGTTAGGTAATTTAGGCCCATGACAAGTGGAGGATCTTAGGAAAAATTTTTTTCGATTTTTTCTGATTTTTCTTTGGTTATGTGTGTCTAATTCCCACATATCTCCTTCTATCAACCCCTTGTTGTTATTGTTAAACTTTCAATAAAAAAAATATATTTTATTAAAAAAAATTCCTTCCCCTCCACTGCTGTTTGGCATTGTATTTTTGTGTGTGTAATTCTACCCACCTGTTTTTTACACATCCAAAAAATATATATATATTCTTCCAAAATTTTTTTTTCTAATTCGGATGTTACGAGTGTTAAACCATATATAAATTCAGGATTTTATTGTTTTCTCTCTCTCCATTTTCTGTTTTTTTTTTAAATTTTTTTTTCGTCTTTTTCTCAATAAATGATTATATTTAAAAATGAGTTTTTTTGAGATCTTCCTTTTTAAAATAATAATTTTTTCTTAAAGTAATATTAATCAGCGTAGCAATAATCCGCCTTATTGTGCTAAATTTGGAAGGATTTTATTTAAATTTAAGTTTATTTTAATTTATGGGTGTTTTCTGGTAGTGAGCTAAAAATTAGAACATTTTCCGGAAAATACAATGTTTTCATAATATTAAAATAGCAATTCCGGAAATGATTTTTAGTAATAATCATATCTCCCAATAAATGTATTTTCCGGAAAAACATTTTCCTAAAGGTTGCGTTTTTAAAGGAAAAGACTCCGTAAATATTTATTCTTTCCGGAAAAAGTATGAGATAAATGGTGTTTTCCGGAAAAGTAAAATACTACCGGAAATTCTTTCCGGAAAAATAAAACATTACTAGAAAATTTTTCCGGAAACCATTAACATTACCATTCTTTCCGGAAAAGTAAAATACTACCGGAGTCTTTCCGGAAAAATATAACATTACTAGAAAGTTCCGGTTTTTCCCGAAACCCTTAAGATACTCATAGGAGTAAGTTTATTTATACTCATAGGAGTATTTAATTTTATTTAATTAAATTAAATTCTTTCCGGAAAAATAAAACATTAACCGGAGTTTATTCATACTCATAGGGGTATTTAATTAATTTTATTTAATTTAAAAAAATTTAAAAAATATACCATAATTAGTCTGTTGTCGACAAAGTAGAAGCTAAAAAAATTCAAAAAATTTATTCAATAATTATTTATCAAAATTAAACCTGTCAGATTTTGTTTCAAAAGGATTATTAAGCATTTCCTCGACTTTAAAAAATAAATTAAAAATATATTTTTCCAAAAAAACTCACTCAAAGAATCGCTTAATCTCGGCATGTGGTAAATATGCTCACATGAATTGCGTGAATTTGGAATGATAAAACCAAAATCGAAATCAAAGCTTTTTAGTAGTCGATCCCGAAAATAGTGGCGTTCAATCATTCTTTTTTAATTATTTTTTAAAAAATTATTTTTTAAATTTAAAAATAAACCTAAAATTGCTGACAGGTTTATCGCCTACTACAAATTCCATAGTTGCTCCAATATGACTAGAAAAAAATTTTTTTTAACCAAATGATTTTTTGGAAGAATAGAAAATATAAAAAGATTTTTTCCTGGAATTTTGTGTTTTTGTTTAAGGTTGCCGGTCCTGGACCGAACTGAAGAACCGATGATTTTTCGGTTCTGTTCCGGATATCCAAAGGTTTTCAAAGAAACAACAACCCAATTTTTGTGGACTAAAAAATTTTTGGGATTTTTTAAAGAATTTTTTTGGAGAAAAAATCCGCAAAATTTTTTAAATTTTTTCACATTACTAAAAAATTTTTTACATAAAAAAATTAAAATCCTTACCGAAGTCGTAAAAACGACGGCTTAAAATAATAACGAATAAAACGGGGAGTAAAGGTCTTTTCATCATCATTGTTGTCTGTCGCATCTTCCTCCCCTCCATTAGAATTTTCTGTTGCTTGTTCTTGTGAGTTTGTATCGTCTTCTGTGGCCGAATCGTTTTCTATAAAAAATTAAATTTAATGAAAAAAAAAATTTAAAAAACCGTCAGGTTTGTTTATCTCAAAAAGAACAGTTTCAGAATCAATATCGCGCACTTTGAAGCGTACAAATTCAATATCTATAAGAAATTTTGTTATGTAGAAATCTGGAAAAAATAAAGGTACTTTTCGATTCTGCCACACCCCTCCTATATATTCGCAGGTTACCTTTCTTCATATGTAACTTTCTCCTTTGTTCAATTGCCTCAATTTTCCCTGTGGAATGTTCAATGAGCGGCATTAATAAAGAAAAGATTAATTTTTACTCAGTTTTCCCTTCAAACAATTTCTCCTAGAAAGGAGAAAGTCTGACCATTCTGTACGTATGATGGAAAAATGTAAAATATAACCTGCGAATATATGGGAGGGGTGTGGCAGAACCGAAAAGTACCAAAATAAAAACCATAAATATTGTCTTCTGGGCGGCATAGAAACCCTTAAAGTTAAATTAGAATTTTAAATACAAAAATTAAAAAAACACACAAAGTTTGGGAAGATCAGAATTTTGGAAATTACAAATGCATTTTATAAATTTTGATTTAAAAATCAGAACATAAATTCTGATCTCGTAAATTTTTATTTTTGGAGTTTTTACTAGGGTAGGGCACACCACAAAATAAAACCTGTATTTGACCAAAACCGAAAATCAGGGATTTTAAAATTTGATTATTGAAAACCAGGGATACCAGTTAATAACCGTTTATGCCCCCCTACCCCCTTTTTTTACCATGTAAATTTGTCGGAAAAAATTCTGATTTTAGCCAACCCACGAAAAACACCCAAAATTCTAATTTTCAAAATTAAAAACAAAAAAAAACCTTCAGTAACACAATTTAATCGTAAAACATCTTCAGGTGTAACAAATTCTTTTTCGTTTAATTCTGCTTCAGAAATTGGTCCTCTTATTATTTCTTGGTTTCCATTTAAATTGGGCATTTTCTGAAAAAAAAATTTTTTTAATTTAAAAATAAAAGAAATTTTTTGGAATTTTTTAAACCAAAAAATTTTTTTAACAAAAATTAATCACAAAAATAAAATTTAATAAAAGCAAAAAACTATATTTTCAAAGTTGTCAAGGCAACATGAGAAAAAATTAAACAAATTAAAAAACCCTCCTATTTATTCTTCTCCCACACAGCCCCAAACTTTTATTAAATGTAGAAAAATAAATAAAAAAAAATAAATATTCTCTCTTCTGTTTAATAAACAGCAATTTAAAAAAATAAAATAAATAGAATATTTAATTATTTAAATTATATACTGCATGAAGAAAAAATTTTTTTTTTTTAAATTTTTGAAAAAAAATATTTTTCGATTTCTTTACAATCCGAAAAATTTTTTCTTGAAAAATTTTCTTTCAAAAATTTTTTGAAAAAAAATATTTTTTGTATTTTTTTATTTTTCAAAAATTAAAAAAAAATAAAAAAAATCCAAAAAAAATTTTTCAAAAAAAAATTTTTTTTCTCAAAAAAAATTTCATACAACACCCAATCCAACAAAAATAAATTTTAAACATCCAATTCTTATTAATGCTCCACTCCACAAAGTTGAAGAATTTTTATATGAAGGAATTAAATATTGAGATTCATTTAAATCTTCTTCCAATTTTATTTTTTGGTTTAAACATGAACAAATATTTTTATCACAATTTTTAAGCAGTTCGTTGTAAGGAGTTAAAGCCACCATTTCAAACGCTAATTTACACTAAAAAAAATATTAAAACTTGGATTTAATTAAAAATGTTTGTTCAGATTTAATGTTCAGATTTAATTCTGGTTTATTTATCCTTGTGTTTTTCTGTTTGGGGTTCTTTCTTGTTTGAATAAAAGTATTTAATAAAAATCAGAACAGAGAGAAAACATGAAAATTAAAATTAAGAAAATCAAATCAGAATTAAATTTGAACACTATATTAAAAATAAAAATCAAAAAAAAAACAAACAACAAAACAGAAATCAGAATATTGAAACAAGGAATAGACAAATCAGAATTAAATCTGAACATTACATAAAATCAGAATTAAATTAGAACACTTAATAAAAATCAGAACAAAAACACAACAAATACAATATTAATAAAACAAAATCAGAATATTAAATAAAAAACATAAACATAGAGGGATAAACAAATCGGAATTAAATTAAAACACTATATGAAAAATAAAAATCAGAATATTAAATAAAAACAAACAAAAAACAGAAAAACAAAGAAAGAAAAAAATCAGAATTAAATTTGAACTTAAATAAAATCAGAATAAAATTAAAACACTAAATGAAAAAAAATCAGAACAAAAACACAACAATTAAAAAATACAAACGGAAAAACAAACAAAACCAGAAAATCAGAATTAAATCTGAACATTACATAAAATCATAATAATATTAGTAAAACAAATCAGAATTAAATTTCAACATTAAAAAAATCAGAATAAAATTAAAACACTAAATGAAAATAAAAATCAGCACAAAAACACAACAATTAAAAGATACAAACAGAAAAACAAACAAGAAAATCAGAATTAAATTCAAACACTAGATGATAATAAAAATCAGAACAAAAACACAACAATTATTCTAAAAAAACAAACAGAAAAACAAACAAAACATTAAAATCAGAATTAAATCTGAACATTACTTAAAATCAGAATAATATTAGTAAAACAAATAAAACACAGCTAAAAACAAATATTCTGATTTTATTCAAGTTTATTTGAACAACCTTGTCAAAGAAAATTAAAACACGTTGCCTTTGTACTTGTCTACATGAAGAAAAACGGCTTAAAAATAAAAAAAAATTATTTAAAAAATTTAGAAAAAAAACCTCATATCAATACAATTATTTTTTAATGTTAATCCACTTCCAATTGTAACAAATTTTGATTGAATTGGAATTAAATAATTTTTAATACTTTTTTCTTCAATTAAATCTGCCCCAGAAAGTAATTGTAAAGCAGCATAAACAGGCAATTTATTATTTAATAAATCTTTTTGAGTAAAATTATTTTTTTTAGATTTAAATAATTTTTTTTAAAATTATTTATTTAATTCTTCAAAGCCTCAAAAACTAATTGATTTTGGCTTCGAAGAGAAAAAAAAGCAAAAATTGACCAAAAAAGTGACCAATCTTTATACTATAAGACCAAAAAAATGCAAAAATTAATTTATCTTTCTCTACTATATTTCAAACTAACGGTTCAGGAGGAGCCTACTGGAGACTCCGAGGGACTCTTAGATATTCAAAAAATTTAATTTTCAAAAAAATTTTTAATAAAAAATAATAAAAACCTGGATGAAAAATGGGAACACCATTATCATTGTATAGTTTACATGGAGAAATAGGCTCTGACTTGACTAAACTGAAATAAAATTAAAATTCAAAAAAAAAAAATAAAAAAATTCCAAACCTAATGGCTTTCCCATTATTCCTCATTCCAATCAATATATTAGCTGCTTCAGCATCTTTCAATTCATTTTCAAACACATTTTGACCATTTTGAGAATTTTTATAAGCTTCCTTTACTTTTTTATTCACCTCAAACGTTGTTTTTCCAAATTTCAAATTTTTTCCAATTCTTTTGACAATTTTGACAATTTTTTCAGGCTCTTCCAAACAAATATTTGAATCATCCTCAGTCACTTTTTGTTCTTTTTCGTCTTTTAATTTTGTACAAAAATCGTAAAAAACAGCCAAGGGCTCTGGTTTATCCAATTTATTGTGTTCTTTCCATAAAGCTATTCGGTCGGTAACCCTTAAAGAGTTGACAAGATGGGAATCCTAAAAAAATATTTTTTGATGATTTAAATGACAAAAAATTTTTTAGAAAACCAAAAATGGTTACTAAAATATATTTTTGAAAATAAAAACAATTTAAGAGGAGGGATGGATTGGGATATCGAAACCCGATACCTAGAAAAACCCAAACCGGCTTTTTCTCAACCTGACCCAGACTTGTTTGGTACTTATTTAGTTTCCCACCCCCAGTCAGTTTTTCCGAAAATTGTGTAAAAATGGTCAGTCTGAACAACAATTGTAGAACCCATCGAGCTATGGCGAATGACACCAAAATCAACGAAATCGGACAAGATTTGACGAAGTTATGACATTATTTAGACCTACCGGAGTCGACGACTTATGTCATAACTTTGTCAAATCAAGTCGGATTTCGTTGATTTTGGTCTCATTCGACTCAGCTCGACGAGCTCTTTCAAATGAGCTATCATTTGTATAGATTTTCGTCTTTATGATTTTGTGCCCTGTGGTTTAGGGGGCTGTATTTCGGTCAAATCAAGTCGGATTTTGTTGATTTTGGTGTCATTCGACATAGCTCGATGGGTTCTACAATTGTTGTTCAGACTGACCATTTTTACACAATTTTCGGAAAAACTGACTGGGGGTGGGAAACTAAATAAGTACCGACTTGTTTCAAGTCAAAAAAAGCCAAACTGGATTCACATCCACAAACTCGTCATCGAAAACTAAACTAAAAACCAGAATGACAACACATAAAAGGTTAACAATTAAAAGACTAAATTTAATAAAAAAATACCTACAACAAATTTCTCAACATGTAAAGGACACATAAACCGTTCATTCGAGCAGGCAGTTAATGGAGGTGTCAAACAATCAAAGCAAAACTTTGCATGGCAAAAATCGCAAGAAATAACATGTTTTTCTTCTAACCTAAAAAATTATACAACTTGAAGAAAATTTTGACCGCAAAAAATTTGCGGACAGATTTTTTTCAACTAAATTTAAAAGAAAACCTTCGACAATAAAAACACGATTTTTTGGCCAAATTTTGATCATTCTTTAAATTAAATAATTCATCAAAAGGTAGTTTATAATAACAATCATCCACTCCAAGACTTCCTAGTGAAAATTCTCTGGAATTTAAAGCACGCATGGCCTTTGCAAGATCCCTCAACGTTTTGTTTTTGTAACGATTTTTGATCAAAAAGCGAATAAAAATTTTGTTGTGGAAATCTTCTCGTTGTTGTGGATCCTTTAAAAATGAAAAAATTTTGATGGGAAAATCAATAGAGAACTAGGTAGAAGTATAGCCATGGGCAGGCATCAGCACGTAAAGGTTCTCTAACGACTGAGAATGAGCTACCGGAGGGACTACTTCCACCTGCCTTTTTTTGATGGATTTTAAGCTCCCGTCTAGTAAGCGCCTTATATACTAGATAGTTGGATTTATCTTCTTACTTAAGATAAATTCCCTTAACCCGCTAATTTTTTGAAGCTTTTCCTTCGAGAAGACGCCAAACAGAGTAAAGAGTCTTACATTAATGAAAAATTAAAATACAAACCTGACTGTTTAAATGTGCAATATATTCAAATTTTTGAGAAATTTCCATTTGACATCTATTACAAATCCAATTGCGAGTATCCACCCTTTTATTATTCACCATCAAAGGAGGAAAGTGGCAAACAAAATGGAATGAAGATTTGCAGCGAGTACAAGTATATAATTTGCCTCCAACAAGTTCCTAAAGAGAATTTTTTGTATTGTGACTTATAGGTGATCTTATAACCCAAAAATCAGCTTGGCCCCCCCCCATGATATTTAAATTTTTCGGGACCTATAACTCGGAAAATGATTGCAGGATTGACCCAAGCTATTGTAGGACCAAATTCCCACGCTAGTTTGACTGAGTTTTCGAAGACTCACCAGAACGAAAAAGAACCCTAGAAGTCATACCATTAAAATTTTAAGAAAATTAAAAAAAATACCAAACAAGAGCAACAATAATTCCCATCAGGACTAGACCTCCCAGAAGAATTTGTCGAACGCTTTTGTTGTGGACTTTGAAATGTTTTTTCTATATCTAGAGACAATCCTGCATCTTTATCGTAAACAATGCTTACATTACGATGTTTAGATTCGTAGACAAAAGACATTTTAAGTAGAGTTTTGATTAAATCTGAAAAGAAAATTGAAAAAATTCAAGAAAAAATTCAAGAAAAAATCAAAAATTCACAAAGGACTTAAAATTAGAAATCGGCATGGGACCGGAACCCGTACGGGATTTTACGAGATCCTGTCCCAAGATCCCGTATTTTAAGCAACAAAAGGGATTATCGGAGTAACGGGATTAATCCCGCAGGATCTTGTCCCGTAAAAATTTTGAAAAAAAATTCCCGTTACGGAATCCCGTGAATGCGATTTTGACGACCTCTACTTAAAATAATCACGCAAGTTTTATTCAAGACTCTAGTATACTCTAAACAAAAACTTTTCTCTAGCTCTCTCATATTCTCTCTTTTCCCCTTATCTTTTTCACATGACTTTTTAATTAAGCAGTTTCAATGCTAATTTGTTGAGTGTAGTGTATTTGCGAACAAGTAGTCGCATTCAAACGTCCAGGTTGTTTGTTTAATTTAAAAGCGTTTTTTCAAATTTTTTCAATCTTTCTAAAAGAAATTTTTTAAATTTTTTGTGATTTATTTTTCTTATTTTTTTCTTTTTTAGGCCTTATAAACGGTTACTAACTTTATTATCAACAAATTCTACACGGCAGACTTAGCCTTACTTAAGAAAAATTTCAACAACAGTCTACAAAACAACAAATATTGCAACAACAATAATTCACAGATTTTGAAGAATGCTTTCCATAAAACTACTTTTAATACAATGCAAGATTAAAAACAACAAAAATATGCGAGTTGGATGTGTTGGAAATTCTAAATGGGGAGGAACGAGAGGTGGGCGTATTTATTTAATTTAAAAAATGTCCGCAAAAACAACAAAATTTTGCGGACGTTCTTACAAGTTCTGGTTTTTTCCGTTATGCCACATCGCTCTCAAGCTCTCCCGAATGAGCTCTTAAATGCCTATTTGAATTTTTACTCAAAAATGAATTTACTTCCCCCCTATGGTTTTTGACCATTTCGAGCCCTATATGTTGGTCCACAGGCATCTGCGGGGAAAAAGAGTGCTACTTTTCGACTCATCACCTTTTTTACCCCATATATGGCATTTTGAACATTAATTTAGGGGGTGTGGTATAACGGAAAGTACACAAGTGCTGGTTTTTTCATTTTAAAATTTATTTTAATATTTCTCTCTTCCGTCTCTCATTTTTTTCTCATAAGAACGCTATTACCTTTAAAATATAGGTTTTTGAAAGGAATGATTAATCAAAGCCTTTAAACCCTTTTATTATTTTTTTCTCCTACCACCTTCACCACCTATCAACTCACAAACCTTTATTTTAATACTAACCTTTCTTACTCATTTTTTTCGGAAATTTTTTTGTGTTTGCAAATAGAAACGAAGGCTTTATATCATTCTTTAGGGGAGATTTTTTGGACAAAAAAAATTTTTTTTAAACTTTCTTTACCTTTCCGTTAATCGACCCCGCAAATCGAGCACCAGCCGACTTTTGAACGGCTATAACTTTTTGATGCTTGATCCAATACAAGTAAATTTATATCATTCGGAAGCCCTCGATAAGCTCTATCTTTTACCTAACTGTTTGGATCAGGTCTGATCAATCATAAAAAAGTTACAAGTCGATAAGTGCAAGAGATCGTTGATTTCACAGTTATCGGGGTATAACTTTTTTATGAGTGATCAGAGCTGATTCATACAGTCGGGTAAAAGATAGAGCCTATCGAGAGCTTTCGAATGATATAAAATTCATTCGTATTGGATCAAGCATCAAAAAGTTATAGCTGTTCAAAGTTGGCTGGTACTCAGTTTGCCGTCGATTAACGGAAAAGTACCAAAAATTTTTTTTTTATTTTTTTTAAACTTTCTTTACCTTTTTCTTGTTTACCTCAATAATTTATTTTTTTAAATATAACCTTTTGTCCTCAAAGTGCCAATTTCTTTTTTTTTCACACTTTTTTGACTTAAATTTTGGGTAAGTCAATTTAGTTGCCCTAAGCGAGAAAATATTTTTAAAAAAAGTTTTTTTAAGTGTTTAACTTGTAACCTTTTTATTTTTATGAATAGACACATTTTGGGTGTATTGACAAAAAAAGGTGTTAAAATGAGTAAACTTAAAAGGTAATTTTTTTTCGTCTTCCAAAAAATTTATTTTTTTTTTGAAATTTTTGAAAATTAAAAAAAAATATTTTTTTCGGAATTTTAGAAAAGATTTTTCATAAATTTCTGAAAATTTTCAAAAAAAAAATTTTAAGAATTTTTTAGAAATTTTCAACCCCCCCCCCTAACAAAAAACACTTTTTATAACCTTTTAAATTATTCCCCATTCACCTCAACTTATTTTTTTCCTGGATAAATAATTGAAATAAATTATACCTCAAATTGTTTTATTGCACGCAAACCTAGTTGCAAACACGAAAATGCGTTAATGATATGGTAATAAACGGAAGTTGTAAATTAATATAGGGGGAATATTTACTTGTATTTTCTTTGTTTTGTTAAATAAATATCAGAATAAAACTT